AATTAAATTCAACTTGATCAGTTAAAATTAATACTTCTCATATAGGAAACCTAAAATTTTTTTTTAATTGACATTTTTAACCAACAATTTCATTATTCTTTACAATGTCGCTTCAATTTAACCTATTACATTTGACTTCAAATTTGCCAACAAACAAACTTTGTTAACTGTTTTTCTAGACACTACTTATTCCTATTTATTTACTATGATAGTTATTATATTTCTAAAATAGTTTTAATAGAAGCAAGTTTTTATGAGTGTTAGTAAAAACATAGGTAATATTGTTATGTGTGTTTGACCTCTGAATCACTTAAAAAGGTTGCAATAGTAGTTTCATGGCATCTAAAAAGTACCAACACTTGCACTTACACAAATGAATAAATATATAAACACTAATTTTTCTTCTTTATAGATAGGTACCCTTTTATTTTATAATTACTCAACAAAATATTATATGAAAACATTGGTATTAACCTTGGTTACCTTTAGTAACATTTTGAAAATTTAAGACACCTATCCATCCTGTTTACTTTGAATCCGTAGCCCATTTGCTGAGAGAATCACTTTTAGCGTGACATCATCTTTTATCTTTTTTTTTAAGATAATATTCTTAAATTTTTTACAATATATCCAGATGTTAGGTATCCCTTGTTTCGTGCTGAAACATAATTAATATTTTAAAGTTTCTGTCGCTCATATACACCACGGCTGGTCAGTTGTCGGGTAAATACGAAATATAAACTCTTAATTGGAAGTTATAAACAAAATACGTAACTTACGATTGACTAATAAATAAACTCACTACTTACCTTTAAGCGGCCCCATTGCCAGATGGGTTTTAATAATTTTCCTCGCTATTCTATTATTTTCCATCAGATAAATCATTTTTGAGATATTTTCAGTTTATCTTTTTTTTAATATTCTTCATTTTATTTCAAACGTCGACCATTTTGTTTTATTAAAAATATTTTGCTTATGTATGATGAAAATTTTAAATAACAGTGAGTCCACTTTTTTTTTTAAATTTATTTATTAGCCGGATACAAAGTCCATTGGCACTTTAAAAAAAAGTATAACAAAAAATCTTACACAAATAACTATTTACTATACTAACTTAACATAAAATACAATCAATATAAAACAATGGTGAGTTTTAAATTTTCTCAACCGTGTTTTTTATATAATAGTGAATAGCTTTGAATAGAACTGGACATTTCAGTAAATCTTGGACACGGCGGGGAATTTCTATTTGTGATGGTTGACATTGATGACTACCATTTGCAGTGACTGCTGATGAGTCTAAAGCTGATCTTGTCGGGTTATTTGCTAAAGAATTTCCAAGTTTAGTCCGATTATTCTCATCAAAATCCATCAACTTCATAATATCCGTTACTAGTATTAATCGTTGAAATTTAAAGGTCGGGCAACTTAAGATGAGGTGGGATAAGTCGGCCTCCTTTCCTCCACAGTATGTACATCTGTTATTATTTATAATTTTAAAACGAAATAAATGGCTTGGAGTCTGACAGTGGCCAAACCTCAAACGATTAATAATGGTTATAAATTTACGTTCATTGGCTCCTTTGTATTTATCATACCAAGGTTTACATGGGAGTTCCTTTTGGATCTCTGCATACCAACTACCTTTATGCTGTGAGGATAATTTCCAATAGCTTTCCCATAACTTGCGACTTCTTTGTTTTAAGTCGAAAAGAAAATCCGTAAAAGGAACTCTGCATGTAATACTATGATCCTCATCATAATTAGAATTGACGATACCATCTACAATATCATTTCCCTTGATACCCCTATGAGAGGGCACCCATTTAAATGTTACTGGAGTATCCAAAGATATCAATGCTTCTCTAATTTTATACAATAAATAATTATTTCTATAATGAGTATGACATTTGTCTAAAGCCATTAACACACTTTTTGAATCTGAAATTATTAGGAACTCCATGTAGTTATCGTTATTTTGTAAACTGTGTAAGTACAATACAACTTGATAGATAGCATAAGCTTCAGCTGTAAATATGCTGCAAGTATTACTTAACATAAAACATTTTGAGGTTTTAGCCTGAGGATCATAGTAACCCGATTTCACTGCAGATGAAGATTTAGAGCCATCAGTGTAGACTTTGTAACTGTTAGGCTTGGTACAGCAATAATCCAGAAAGTCTATATTATCTACTACACTGGACATATCTATATTTAATTTACACATAAGAGCTTTATATTTACAGAGATATACAGGCCATAGTTCAGATTTGTACATATTATCAGATAAATCAGTCATAAAGCTCATAATTCCCAATAATTCAGGGATCTGGTTATTGAGAACATTAGTCGCTGTTATACTTGAAGGCAAATCTGGTGTATTAGTGATAGTTATAGAATAAGAAAGTTTTGGAAGAAGAACATCATTCTGAGAAGTTATTACTTTCAGGCAAAATTTTTCAGCAATTAATACTCGCCGAATACATAGTGGTTCTACACATGACTCAACCTCCATAGAATTGATAGGAGTGGTACGCATTGCACCAGTAACAATTCTAAGAGCAATATTTTGGATAACATCAAGCTTTTTTAATAATACAGGACTAATATTCATATATGCCAGACAGCTATAATCAAAATGACTACGTACTAAGCTTTTATATAATAAACAAAGAATTTTTGGATCAGAACCCCAAAAAGTTCCTGCTAAGGACCGCAAAATATTGATACCTTTCAAAGCTCTACTACAAATATAGTCAATGTGTTTGGTAAACTTTAATTTAGTGTCAAAAATTACACCAAGAAACTTTTTTCGCTATTTTGAGGGATTAAATTATTGTTATACTTAACATTTACATTAGTATCAATACCATAAGCTAAAACTGAACTTTTACTACTATTTATATTTAATTTAAGTATCTCAGTATAATAGTAGTTAAGTTGACATAAAGCTGAATTAACTTTTGCTTGAGTAACCTGTAAATTACTGCCTACACTATATATTAAGATGTCATCAGCAAATTGTAATATTTTTACAGATTCAGTCACATATGTATATATTTGTGAAGTATAAAGGTTATACAGGATTGGAGATAAAGAAGACCCTTGCATCAACCCCTTGAATGCTAATTTTGGACCATGAAAAACATTATTGTATTTAATGTATAAAGAACGACCATAATACATATGGAAAATCCATTTTAAAAGCTTTCCTGGGATGCCCAAGGAATATAGCACCCTAATTAATTGGTGAAGATCTACATTATCATATGCCCCCTGAACATCAAGGAAAACACAAATTGCAGTAGAACCTGATAACAAACACTTCTTCATATCAGTCAGGTAAGCTATAAAACTTTCTGCTGCACTTTTGCCTTTTCTGAATCCAAACTGACAAGAAGGAATAAGTTTCTGGTTTTCAACAAAATAGTCCAGTCTAATCTTAATCATTTGCTCAAACAATTTCCCTACACAAGATGTAAGAGAAATGGGTCTGTACGAATTAAAATGATCATTGGGTTTATCAGGTTTTAACACTGGTATGACACATTGCAACCTCCAGGATTCTGGAATCAATTGATGAGACCAAAGCGAATTTAAAATATTAAGTAGAATATGTTTTACAGAAACATGTAGATTTTGAAGCATAATATAAGGAATATCGTCAAGACCAGGGGTTGTATTCTTTCTTGAAGACAAAGCCATGTCAAGTTCTTCAAAACAAAAAGAGTTAAGTAGAAACTTGCTCCACTGACTTCCATCATTAAATTCGAATAAACCAGAAATATTATCATTGTTATTACTAGGTTGCCCTAACTTCTCTAAAAAGCTTGCTATCCACTCATCATTTTTGGACACATTTCTATTAATGTTAATTCTCTTAAATCTTCTAATAAAATTCCACACTCGGGATACTGGAGTGAATCTATTAAAAGACGAACAAAGACTTTTCCAACTGTCTTTCTTAGCCATTTTTATAATAATTTTTTTCCTCGAATCTATTTTCTTATATTCTATATAATTGTCCATTGTCATATTACGTCTATAATTAGCTAACGCTTCTCTTGATTTGGTTACAGCCTCGGCACAAGTATCATTCCACCAAGGAGCTGGAGGAGCAGACTTTTTACTAGAAGATTTATGCTTTAACAATGGAACACAGTTTTCTTTTAAACTAAATAGTAATTTAGAAAATTCATCATATTGAACTAAAGGATCAATTGTTGAAGGAGAAAATTTATCAAATATATCTTTGGATTTATCATTGTACATATTTCAGTTTGTTTTATTATATAAATACTTATGTATAGACTCTTGAACTGTATATTTTTGAGTTGAGGTAATGATGTTAACAAAAGTAGGTAAATGATAGCTCCCTAAAGAGTCATCACCGACATACCACTCACAAAGTGGTGCAATATCAGGGCTAACACAAGTAACATCAATGGCTGATGCATTATTACCAGGTCTAGAAATAGTAGTAGGGTCACCAGAATTTAAAATACATAAATCAGCATCATCAAATATATCAAATAATTCACGACCTCTTGAATTGGTAGTATCACAACCAAAAGCTATATTGTGAGCATTAAAATCACCAGATACAAGACAAGGTTTGGGTAATTGCAAAATAATCTTTCTCAAATTAATCAAACTAATTGAGCTATTATTTGGTGGACAGTAGACACAGAGCACTGAGACAGGACCACATCCTGTTATTATAGAAATAGCTATAAATTGAATATTTTGATAGAAAGTAGTTTTTAAGACCTTAAATTTAATATCATTTTTTATTAAAATACCTACACCTCCATGCTCATTTTTAGCATTTTTTCCAACAAATATATAACCAGGTATATAAAAAGGCGGACCAGAATCTTTTAACCAAGTTTCATTCAGCAAGCACACATCTATTTTATTATCATATAATAAAGATTTAAGAAGTGGTTTTTTATTATTGATACTCTGTATGTTATGTTGCATTAATCGTAAATAATCCATTATTTTGTTAAGTTTTGTATTAATATATCCTTAATGTGTGCAGTTGTGTTTACTGTATTAGAATTGCCTAACATAACTAAAGTTTTGATAATTTTACTCAAGAACTGATCATCTTTAATGAGCTGATCATAGGAACCACTATTAGGAGGAGCAGACTGGACTGAAATTGAATTATCTGATGAATTTTGTGATAACTTTTTTTTCTTAGGTTGGACAGCAGGTGGAGCTAATTTATTATGAGCCAACTTTACAACTGATTTATCATTAGGTAACTGAGGAAAATCACTTGACAATAATACAGTTGAATACATTTTAGATGAATAATTATTTTCATGTTTTTTAATCTGAGCTGCTTTTTGAGGACAAAACCTAGATACTGCCAAGTGGTCTCCTCCACAGTTAACACACTTTAAAAATTCAGCTGAGCATTCCTTATAGGAATGACCACCTGAACACTTTGAACAAACCTGATTGTTTCTACATACTTTGGCACTGTGTCTAAATTTCATGCATTTAAAACATTGCATGAGAGGAGGAATATAAGTGAAAACTTTGTAACGCCAGTTGTCTAAATAAACATACTGAGGGAGAACAGTTCCTACAAAGGTAACGCTTATAGTAGTAAGAGGTTCCAGACCATCACAAGTTCTTTTCATAAAACGTCTAACACCAACAATTTCAGAGTCAGCCATTAGTTTGTGGTATAAATCCGCGTTACTGCATTCTTTAGGGATAAAACGAATTTTACCCACTCGCTCCACCGAAGAGGCTGGTACAAAAGCTTTCATATTATTGTCACGTAAGCTAACGTGACTCAGAAAATCATTAGCAGCTGCAGCTTGTTTGAAAACCAGCATAATTTTGGCCGCATTAACTCGACGACATTCCTTAATGCCCTTCACGTTTTTGAATATTTTTGATAAATGCAAAGGATTTTTATTACCTATCTTATCTTCCATTTTAATTCCCTGTACGTAAACGGGAAACTCTTCTATGTTATTATTATCCGGGTAGGATCGCTTATACTCGGGTTTAGAGTAAGGTTTATACTTATCGACATCGTTCGATTTTACTGAGTTATCAAATCGCCTCTTTTTCGAGTCTACGGGTAACTTTGTAGACCCGTCTTCATCACCATCACTCTCTGAAGACATTATTCTCCTCCAAAAGCACTCTGTCTTGAAAAAGACAATTTAATTTAAAATAAAACAAAATTTTATTTGAAAAAACGCGGCTCTCCTTTTCCCGCCAAAAAGGAAGTCCAGTGAGTCCACTACGCAGTCAGTGTTGCCAACTCGATCTCTTAGGTAGGTGCTAAATGACATCTCAAATAGTGCTAGATTGATAAAAAATATCAAAAATAGTGCTATTTTTTTAGACATGAAAAAAAGATATAATTAATTTAATTTTGGTTTAATATGATAATAATTATTTAAAACTACATCCAATCATCTTCACTATCGTCTGTCAATACTGCTGATTCTGCTTCTCGTTGTACTGACGCTGAAGCCGCCGTGGAAGTGGAAGGTTCTTCGCTGTCAGACTTTTTCAATTTAAATGAATACATATCTTTTTTGCCAATTTTTTAAGAAGTTCTTGGGGAATTTCATATGTATGGCAATTTTTATTTAAGTTTTTGAGCCCTGTTCGGATATGAAGAAGTAAATTCAAAGTGTCCAAATTCATTTTATTCCTCAGTTTATTTTTTAAAATGTTTATTGAACTGAACACCCTCTCAACATCGGTGTTAGAATGCGGCAATGATAGTAATATGAAACTAGTTCATTATAGGGATTTTCGTTGTTTGCATCTTTATATTGAGATACCTCTACCCCTAACATAGATTAGACAGATATGGGCGCGTTCGATTTAAAAATTATAGTAGCGTTTTATTACTACACCTTGCACGGCTGCGTTTTATTACAGCAACCAGAGAAATCCGAATGATGGCTGTTTAGTGCTAAATTTAGTGCTAGGTGCTGAATGTTAAATGACAGTGATTGAATTGCGAAAATAGTGCTAAATCTAGCACCGAAAGTGCTAAGTTGGCAACACTGTACGCAGTAACAGCGCTCCCTTCGTCACTGACGTAATTTTTGGAATCTCATGGTATTCTGTTAAGAAATTTTACATTACGTCTTGATAAGTGGAGGGAGTGAACCTAGTGAGTTGTTGTCTATTAATATCGTGACAATTGACTCATTTTATTTATAAAAAGAGTTAATTGTCAAAAATTTCATCATATATAAACAAAATATTTTTAATAAAACAAAATGGTCGACGTTTGAAATAAAATGAAGAATAATAAAAAAAAGGATAAACTGTGAAAATATCTCAAAAATGATTTATCGGATGGAAAATAATTAGCAAGATTAATATAGAAATATGCTTAACCAAAGCATAGCAAGGAAAATTATTAAAACCCATCTGGCAATGGGGCCGCTTAAAGGTGAGTAGTAAGTTTATTTATTAGTAAATCGTAAGTTATGTATTTTGTTTATAACGTCCAATTAAAAGTTTATACTTCGACCAGCCGTGGTGTATATGAGCGACAGAAACTTAAAAATATTAATTATGTTTCAGCACGAAACAAGGGATACCTAGTATCTGGATATATTGTAAAAAAAAATTAAGAATATTATCTTAACAAAAAGATTATTATGTAACGCTAAAAGTGATTCTCTCAGCAAATGGTCGAAGGATTCAAACTAAACAGGATGGATAGGTATCTTAAATTTTCAAAATGTTTCTAAAGGTGAATACCAATGTTTTCATATAATATTTTGTTGAGTAATTATAAAATAAAAGGGTACCTATCTATAAAGAAGAAAAATTTGTGTTTATATATTTATTCATTTGTGTAAGTGCAAGTGTTGGTACTTTTTAGATGCCATGAAACTACTATTGCAACCTTTTTAAGTGATTCAGAGGTCAAACACACAATAACAATATTACCTATGTTTTTACTAACACTCATTAAAACTTAATTCTATTAAAACTATTTTAGAAATATAATAACTATCATAGTAAATAAATAGGAATAAGTAGTGTCTAGAAAAACAGTTAACAAAGTTTGTTTGATGGCAAATTTGAATTCAAATGTAATAGGTTAAATTGAAGCGACATTGTAAAGAATAATGAAATTGTTGGTTAAAAATGTCTATAAAATTTTTTTTTAGGTTTCCTATATGAGAAGTATTAATTTTAACTGATCAAGTTGAATTTAATTTAATTGTTCAGATTTCAGAATACAAGTATAAATAATCATGTTAGGTATGTTGGATCAAATATATAAGCTTTCAATTGCTCAAATTCATACCATTTCAAGTGATCAACGTTAATTTTAAATGTTGGGAATGACATTGCCATAACTTATTTAATAAACATAGAAGCAATCAAAAGATAGTTATTACTGCTGACTACACTTTAGCACTAAACATACCCTTTATGGGTCTTGGATTTGTTTCATTAATAAATAATTGTTTTTAAAGTACATACTTGGATTTGGATTTTTGAGTCTAAATATAGGTTTGCTCAAGATTTTTTATATTCATAGTACTGAATCAAATGCTGTGTGCGAAATTACTAAGCCTTGTTACCATAAAACTTTTTATAATATTTGGCTAAGTTATAATATTATCAACCATGTTTTTAAGATACTTTACTTAGAAATACAAAGATATCCTATATATAAGTTTTTGTGTGTTTTATGCAAGTTTTTTTATTATTTTCCTTTTTAATAATTAATATTATTGTGTCAGTACAGTGACCTACCACATTTCCCTATTTACAATTTTAACAGATAACCATTGTATTACAGTCATCAGCGGTAGTTGTCAAGAATGAGGAAGAAAATGACCAATTACCTATTGAAATGTTAAGAAGAGATATTAAACAGAGACCACTAATCTACTTTGAATGCAGTTTGGACAACTATGATTTTTATATGAAAAATTGTATTACCGTGTTTAAGATAATTGTGTACTTCATAATAATTTTTTTTGTATCTAATAATATTGTTATATTAATAAAATGATTAATTAAATCTACCACTTATTTAATGACTGCCTATAGAAAACGTAGTAACCGAGTTAAATACATAGCTAAGCCGAAATGAAAAATATATAAGCCATGTTACATTATAGGTTAATAAAAGAACAATATAATAACTTACACATTTAATTTAATGATTATAGTAAACTTTTAACACACTACAAAATAACTTTCAGTAAAACATTCTTAAGTATAATAAAAACTAATTCAAACCCAGCCTCACATAGAGCTAATCAATAACATCTACTTTATTTTGTAGACAAATATATTTATTTTAATATATTTTTTAATTAGTTTGTAAAAAGTAATAGTTATGAACGATAAATTTAAAAAAGCTTAATAAGTACTTAAACCATCATGTATGTAATGATGGTATTTAATACTTGTGTAAAGCAGAATAATGTTTTTATGCAAAACCTTAATGTTATATCAATATATTTTATAAAAATATAGGAACCAAAATTGTACTGTGTTATCATCACTACATAGTATAAAACAAAGTCGCTTTCTCTGTCCCTATGTCCCTTTGTATGCTTAAATCTTTGAAACTACACAACGGATTTTGATGCGGTTTTTTTAATAGATAGAGTGATTCAAGAGGAAGGTTTATATGTATAATAACATCCATTAAATAGTGGAGAAGTACTGTTATTTTTGAGGTTTCTAATGTGATGTCGTAAATAATTAAATGTTTTCCGCTTACATTGCAAACGCAGGCTGAACCCTACGAGTTTTATCAAAATAATGTACTAAGTATTGTACACATTGAAAAGGTCTACAGAAAAGTCCGTGATGGTATATGTCTATCTCTTATGGATAACCCACAATAACTTTTTTTTGTCATTTACTTTTTACGACAAATAATGGCTAATTTTCGAAGCGATTTTAACCAATACAGCATTAATCCTTAACCAATTAAATACCTTGAATACATTGTTCACTTAATATAGATCTATATGGCCCTTTACAGCATATGATTTAAATGAATATTTCGAGGATATTACAAATTTAAAAATTGCGGGACGCAGCGCGTCGGAGGCCGCGGTTCTCCCTATACTTTATAGCACTTTGAATTTAGTATCAGCATTGCATCCGTGCGAAGCCGGGGCGGGTCGCTAGTTTATTATAAATTGAAGGATAAGTAGTCGAAATTTAATAATTTGAAAATGTCTGCACTATTGTGTCTTTTTATATCCAGGGGCCTTGTTGTATGATACACATGTAATATTCTTCTTCTTCAAAGGCAGAATGTATTTTTCTATCAGGAACTTTGAACATTTGGGGATCTCTGAAATTATTAGATTTATAATTTTAGTATAGTAGAAAAATACAAATATATTACAAAATTTACCTATCTTATTTATCGTTTTCTATTCGACTTATCTCTGCTGGAGACAAGACATGATCAAGACTGCATCGAAAAATTGGTTCTAGGATAAAAATTATATTTTTAATGCTAAAGTAATCAAAATGTTTACCTTAGATCATCTATTTACTAGACTCTTCGTTCATCTCAGCAGCATATGTTCTAGGTTTCGTCAATACCATATAATTTCTTGAGTATTAGAAAAAAGCGATAGTAACCAACGCCGAGAAACCAATTGGTCGTTTCGTGCCTACATTTTCTTCGCCATCTATAGATATTATATTAAGTATTTTTTAATGGTTTACATCATTTATTTCTTGAAATAGAGGTTTAAACTTTTAAGGTGGAAACGGGCCTTCTGTAACAATAACAAAGTTCTATTTCACGAAGCTTAATGTTTATATATATAATTTTTTCGTAAAATAATGCTGTATTATAAATATTATTTTATAAACTTACCCCAAGATACATATAGATTGTCCTATTTTAGAATATTTTCACATAAAACAAGTTTTAACTTCGCTAAAAATGGCTAACTCACTGGTAAATGACGATTTCAGCGAGGGAAGAGCAACTTTTAATTTGACGTACAAAATGTACATTTAAATGAGATGCGATGTCAAATGGTATGTATCAGAATACCAAATACCAACAATTTTGGAGCGTAAGTGTAGCAGTGCCAAATTTTAGTTCCAAATGTGAACAATCTCATTTGAGCGGCGCTTTTGTCGCGGTTATTGTTTAACAGAATACCAAATTGTAACATGACACCGAAACGAACGATTTGACAGCAAAACTCAGCGCTGAGAGTGTGTGAAGCGAGTTACAGAATCGCAGGGCAGTTTATCTTTTTTTTAATATTATTAATTTTATTTCAAACGTCGACCATTTTGTTCTCTATTTTGTTTTATTAAAAATATTTTGTTTATGTATGATGAAAATTTTGACAATTAACTCTTTTTATAAAATAAAATGAGTCAATTGTCACGATATTAATAGACAACAACTCACTAGGTTACCTTCCTCCACTTATCAAGACGTAATGTAAAATTTCTTAACAGAATACCATGAGATTCCAAAAATTACGTCAGTGACGAAGGGAGCGCTGTTACTGCGTAGTGGACTCACGGATTAACAGTGAGTTACAGAATCGCAGGGCTGGTGTGATTTTGTATGTCACCTGGCAGCCCTGGCATATTATAGTGACAACGAAATTCAAACTATAACCTAACCGATGTCTCTCGCTTCACATCTGTTATTTTCGTTTCCCTGAATCTTCTACCATTTATTACCTGACTACTCTAAAAAATTTGAGATAGGAGTGGAACATATGAAATTAAAAAAAAAAAAAGGGTGCGTGTACTTATGTACGCGCGTAAGAAGTTATACTTCTTTGGCATTATTAAAAATAGTTTTTGATTGCATGCAAATAATTAATTACAATTAAATAATCAAAGACTGGAAAAGGAGTCATTAAAGTCAATAAAGTTCAGTTTACATTTGAAAAATTAATTAAATAAATATTTATTATTATTCTCTTACATTAAACAAATAAAACACTATTTATCTTTAAAACATTTTTATTTCATTATACTATTTATTTTTAAGTGACCCTTATGTCTTCATCAGAATTTCGGTTTGTAATTTTAAATTAATCATTACTTGGTTGTGCATCTACGAGGCTCCTCCAAAACTACTTGCTTTCTGCAACAAATAAGAGAATATTAATTTAAGCTCTGTCCATGCAAAACTTAAATTTTTTTATAATTCATATTATAAATTTTTTTAACACATTTATATTACTATAATTATATAAATGTGTTAATAATATAATTTGTAGCACATGCTACAGACCTGGATAGCAACTTTCTTTTATTCTATTTAGAGATAGAGATAATTTAAATATAATACCGGTGTCTTCCTTGTAGGTTTCTTTGGAGTTGTTTGGGGATTCTTGTTGTTCAGTTCGACATGATTTTCTTTAACCTTTCTTTAATCCTACAAAATAATGAAATTGTTAAGTTATGTTGTCACTGTTGTGCACACCTTTGTTTGGCTTTTTTAGTATTCAAGTTATGTCAAAACTGATTTATTACCTTGTCATTGTTGGCTTTATTTGCTTTTGGGATATCAATTGTTTCCAAAATGATTTTATTTGTAATAACCTGAAATATATAAATAACATCTATTAATTTAAGTATCATGGTGAGTGGTTCGCACTCAGGTATTAAGGTGTATTATACCCACTGTCCATTATAAGTGGGAATGGGCTCACTTCTGGCAGGACAGAGTTTCGGTACTACAAGTGCAACATGGATGTTTTGAGGTATTACAATATCTCTAACTACCCTGTAGGGGAATAAAGTAATGTTGTAAGCATATGCCTATGCTTGAAAGGTTGAACCTTGAACATCACCATACATCATATTTATAATTAACATTCCTACCTCGACACCATCACAATCAAATTCATTGAAATCTACTTCAAAACATTGTGTCTCGAGAAGGTGATGGTGGCTTTGTTCCACCTCCAGTTTTTGATGTTTCACGGCGATAAGATGACAACTCTTTTTTTGTATTCAATTTAGTGCACTTCCACTGATTCATCAATTGTTTTTTGTCTCTTGTCCTTATATTTGCTAGATTAAATCTGATGTTTTGATTAAATAATGTGGTCATTTTTTTGAGATGCAGGTACTTATTAAAATGTTTACTTCTCTGTTATATCGCTCCAAGCCTTCATTTTCTCCTTATTAGTATTCGTGCTTAAATCTTTGTTCTCAATTATTGATATATAGGGTCGTAGAATATTTCTAAAAAGTTGCTGTAACAAACGCAATAAACAAAAGCAATGAATAATGGTTCATGTTTCAGTTTTAATCAACAATAATACTCGATAATACATACGGATAGTTAACCTCAATTGTATTGAAGCACTCAGGAAGGTTAGCACAGTTTTTTCACAAATATTTTATATTATTTCACAAATATTTTGTATAATGAAAATAACTAGGTATATAATTATTAATTTTAAACAATAATTAAAACTCCTATATTTGTTTAAAAGGTAAATGTCATTGTCAGATGTCAATTGTCATGGTCATTCAAAATTCTTGTTAAGCTGCTAAGCTAGAATATGCGTGAAGTTAGCTTCACGCATATTCTATTTCTTTTTACTTGTAGTTTGTCTTATTCCCATCTCGCTCGCGCACGCTATATCACACTGCCAATTTTGTGTCATAGGTGCGCGCGCAATCGTAAAATTTCACTCTCATCAATTTTTCATAACGCGCCTAAAGAAGTACAACTTCAAAAATCTGTTGGAAATAGAATTTCTTCAACAAAAATATAAATTAGTATTAGAAATATGTATTACACTTAAAAAAAGAATCAGAAAATAAATGATTAAAATGAAACAAGTTTTGTTTTGATATTCTTTATTACCAAACAAATTACCTAGTTAAATTGTGCAATCACAGATTGCCGGAATGCTAGACCTGTAAGAGATCTTTCATTGTTTCTGTGTTACTCAACTTCTGCTGTCAGCAAGATCACCATCATCATAGGCATCCCCTCTCTGTATACCTATATTATGCAATACAACACAAGCTATAATTATATATAACTAGTATTTGTCAATTTTGACTGTAGTCCTAGCTGTAAACATGGAAATTTCCTTTATCACACTCCGAAAAACCTTTAAAAAATATGCCTAGTTCTTATTTGAGAATAATTATAAATATTGTCAGCTCTTGTCATTGGATTTAAAAGTGTTGTTAACATGAAGTTAAGTGCTGGATAACCGCTGTCACCTACTAAAACAGGCATTTTCTAAATATCCTGCTGTCGTGAGAACTGCCAGGCCACCTAGTCACTATAGCAAATATTTCCATATCAGGCCCTATTATTGCTTGCACATTTACAGAAAAATACCCTTTTTTATTTCTGTATGCTTCAGAGTGAGCGATACCTTCGGGTCTATTAATTTTTATATGGGTGCAGTCAATAGCTCCGATTATACTGTTTAGGCCATGGTGAGTATTAGATCTTCCTAATTCTTCAAACTTCGTTTTGGCTGTGTTCATATTTCTTAGAAAATTTACAAATCTAGGAAGTAATTTACTCAACTCTGCAGAAACTTTATTTATAATTAAACAGACGGTAGATTGGCTTATGCTGTTCAGATCACCACACACCATCTGTAATGTCAATAAATTATTATTAGTCACATATATGTTATGTTTCTGAAAGTCAGAAGACTAAAGTGTATTTAAAATCATTTGAGAAGAGGTATAATATATCAAATTGAAAAACCATACATATTTATGAACACAATATTACCTGAAAACATCCAGTTCCGAACATATACTTTAGGCATTCGTGGATTCATATCGGCTGCAGTTCCTACCCTTTCAATGTTTTCTATTGAAGATAGAACTCTCTCTCTCCATCATGTCACTTTCGATATTGATATTTCCAAGCGGTCCATGTAACAAAGCCAAATCACAAAACGTCACAGTGCTTCGGGAATGCGTAGGAGTTAAGTAGGTATACGATCCAGATTGGTCCAGGTCCAAGTCACAAAGCCAGTCGTTGTTTTGAAGAAAGTTAAATTTAATATTTATAAGCTCATACAAACAGAAACAGAAAAGAGAAAAAGTGGTTTAAAATTTTCAATTGTTGATACAAGTGCTTTGTTGCTGTTGTCAAAACATTGCGATCCGTTCTACGTAATAAAATTATTGTCATCTTTAAATAATTAATACATTTTCTAAAGGTTACTCGTAAATTTCTAGTTATTGCAATAATAAAATAAATGAATACATAAATAACAATAAATTGAAGATATATGTGTACCGTTTTAGATGTTTAAATATTTGTTATTGTTTACTTTTTTAAAGGATAATAAACAAAGTATTGCATGAAATGAAACATCAATTTGTATTTTGACATTTTCTGTCTTAGCTTGGGCTTAGCTTAATCTCACCGTTAAAATGTCTATAAATACGAAATCATAGTTTAACCTTAGTGTACACTAAGCAAAGTTTTTCGTAAGGTAAGTCTGAGCAAAGTCCAAGTGCGCACTATAGATCTCACCCTTAATTTTCATAGACGTAATGTTACGCCTATGAGCATATTCCATTAAATTGTTTTTATTGTATTTTTTATGTAATTGTAGATGTGCTTATAAGTAAGTTCGTCTTGTAACAATTGTTTTAAAGGCGGCGGGCGGGACAATAAATCACACTTATTTTCAACATCACTAAGTTCACTGGCCAACACTAGTCTGTCGATCAAAAATTTTTGACAATCGAAGATAATGTGTTCCACAATCCACAGTTCCATCACTTGAATTACAATGTGAACATGTTTTATTCGCAATAATGCCGAGTCGAGCAAGGTGTGACGGTGCAGTATTATGACCAAAACGCAGTCTATTTATGATAGTAATAAAGTCTCGAGGAGCATCTTGCATACGATGATACCAAGGTCTTGCAGGTAAGTCTACTTGTATGCTTCCATACCATTTTCCTTTCGTATCTTGATCTTTCTTCCACATTTCTAACCACAAATTTTGAATATTCAATACATTGCAAGTAATCGGACATAGGAACATTCATTGTATTTCTAACGTCAACAGCATTAACTCCTTCATATGCAGTTTTATCAGCCATTTCATTGCCAGAGATACCTTTGTGGGAAGGTACCCATAGAAAGAAAATTTGAATATTGTTATTGTGATATTGTTGAATTATTTGTTTAATGAAGTAAAGGATATAATTAGACTTGAATTTAACTGTAAGGGTAGTTAAAGCTGTTATCAAACTCAAGGAATCAGAAATTATTAAAAAATATTTAATATTATTGATTTCGCGAATACGCATTAATGCCTGATACACTGCATATGCCTCTGCCGTAAATATAGAGCAGGGTTCATGCAGAATAAAACTTGAAGAAAATTTTGCTTGTGGATCATATAGAGCAGCATGTACATAATTACTTGCTTTGCTCCCATCAGTGTAGATAACATAGTACATTGTATTTTCCTCCAAAAATTGAAGCATTTCCGAATTATTGTTTATTGTCTGTTGGACTACATTAATTGGATGTGAAATACACTGATAAGAGAAAGAGTAACATGGCCATGGACACTGTTTTCTAACTTTAGAAAAACTATTGTCTATTTCCAGAAATATATCGGACATTGTTGGAGAATTACCACATATTAGACCTTGTGCTGTTGTTAATGGTCTTCTTGGGGATCTATCTATATAAGGTATAATTTTGTTTATTACTTGAGTGTTGTTTGATGCTATTAATTTGAGACAGTATCTTTCAGCAAGTAAGATTCGTCTCAAAATCAAAGGCATCACTTTTGTCTCAACTTCCATGGCCCTTATGGGAGTTGAGCAAATAGCACCAGATATTATTCTTAAAGCCTTATTCTGCAATATGTCTAATTTATTTACATGAGAACTATTCATATAAGCGAGTGAGCTATAATCTAAGTGACTTCTAACAATACTTTTATACAATATTGACAATATTTTAGGGTCTGCACCCCATGTTACACCACAAAGTGATCTGATAACATTTAGTCCTCTGTGAGCATTTTTGGATATATATTTAATATGTTCTTCAAAAGTTAGTTTTGGGTCTAGTATTATTCCTAAAAATTTCTTTGAAGTGACTCTATTTATAATTTCATTATTGTAAATAATATTTGAATTTGAGGCTTCATTGCCAAAAAACATAACACTACTTTTAGATGGGTTAATTTTTAAATGTAAACAATAATTATAATATTGTAATAGTTGAAATAAGGATTTGTTCATATTATCTATTGCAATCTCTAAGTTGTAATTACTACTGTATAATACAATGTCATCAGCAAATTGTAAAATATTTACATTCCTATTATTTACATATTTACAAATTTCACTTGTGTATATATTGTACAGTAATGGAGATAGTGTGGCACCCTGCATTGTACCTCTCGAGGCACATTTGGGTCCATATAGAATATTGTTATGCCTAGCATAGATTGCTCTGTTGTTCAAAAAATTAAAAATCCACTTACATAAGTGCCCGGGCACACCCAACCTAGACATGATTTGAACTAGTATACCAGGATCAACACTGTCAAAAGCACTTTGAACGTCTAGGAATACGCAAACTGTGTTTAATTTTCTATGTTTTGCATTTTTCAGGTCAGAGATTAAAGAGGTGAAACTGTCTGCACTACTACGCCCTCTACGGAAGCCATATTGTATATGTGGAATGAAACACTTAGATTCAACATACCAATCGAGACGGACTTTCACCATATTTTCGAATATTTTACCAAGACAGGATGACAAGGAAATTGGTCTATAAGAACTATCAAACTCAGGACATTTGTCGGGCTTAAGTATTGGGACAACACATTGTGTTTTCCATGACTGTGGAATAGATTTATTACTCCAAAGCAAATTGAGGATGTTAAGAAACAACTGTTGGGCAGAAACATCTAAGTTTTTAATTACAATGTAAGGATAATCATCTAAGCCAGGAGTTGTATTTCGTCTAGAGTGCAAACTTGTTAAAAATTCAGACCATGAAAATGGATCCAGTAAAAATTTTGAATTTGGGTTATCATTGTTGATTTCAAAAACAATGTTCAGTTGATTTACTTCAATTAAGTTGCTATTATCTGATAATTTATCCAAGAGTGGAGATATAAACACATCTGTATATGATTTATTCTTAGGTCTTATGCCTTTGAACATTTTTAATAAATTCCAAATTTTACTTATGTGAGTATTTCTATTAAAAGTGTTACATAAGTTATTCCATCCAATTTTTTTCTGTTCTGAAAGTGTTCTCTTTTTCTTGGCATCTTTTCTTTTGTAATTAATATAATTTTCAATAGTAGGTTCTTTTCTATATAGTTTTAGTGCATTATATGAAGCAATAACACTTTGTTCACATATACAATTCCACCAAGGAGATGGTGGTCTGCTTATGAAAGTGTTTGTTTTAGTGAGCTTTGGAATTGACATTTCTTTAAGAGTATCTAAATGAGAACAGAAATTATTATATGTTGAAATAGGATCATGTGATTGAAGTATCAAATCATTAAACATTGTTTTTTAAAGATCTGTGTATGTTTCCCAGTCAGCTTTTTTATATATAAACCTATCTACAGGGGAATTGAGATGATATTTATCTATATCTAATGAAATCTCTGTTATTGTTGGATAATGGTAGCTTCCCATTGTATCATCATGTACAGACCATTCACATAGTGGTGCGAGGCTACCACTGATGAAGCTTACATCAATGGCAGAAGCAGTTTGTCTAGGGCGATTTAAGGTTGTAGGTCTACCATCATTTAAAATACACAAATCTAAGTCATCAATTAAATTAAATAACTCCTGACCTCTACCTTTGGTTGACTGACAACAAAATGCAATATGATGAGCATTAAAGTCACCACTCATAAATATGGGTTTTGGTAGATCATTAATAATGTAATGGAGTCTATTAAATCGTATACGCCCACTTGAAGGTGGACAGTATATACAGAGAATTGTTAGACTACTATGTCCAGTTGATACAGATACAGCAACTGTTTGTATATCCTCATAAAATCTAGTATTTAATATATTATACTTAAGATATGGTTTTATTAGTATTGCAACTCCATTATGTGCATTGTTTGAATTTTTGTTGTAAATATTATATCCTGGTATTTTAAAATTATTATCTTTAAACCATGTCTCATTTAGAAGGCAAATATCAATATTTTGTTGTTTTAAAAATTGTATTAATAAAGGTTTTTTACTATTTGCACTTTGAATATTAAACTGCACAATACGTAGCTTGGATTGTGTAGAACTAGGCCCTACACAATCCATTATGTTAATTTTTTTAATAATGCATCTTTTATAGTTTTCATATTAGTAGGTGTACTGTCATCTTTATTGGCTAATTCCACCAACGTCTCTACTAGGGCCATAAGTACATTGTTGTTGGAAATTATTTGATTTTTAAGGTCCTAAGAAGGGACGATTTTAACTTTATTTACATCCGACTTATTTGCAGAGATATTTACAGACTTATTTACAATAACATTACTATTTACAAGTTGTGGTTTTGGTGGTGGGAGTGGAGGGAAATCTGTTTCATTGATGGTAACTTGTTTTGTTAAGGCAACACTTGCATAAGATATGTTGCTTTTCTTTTCACTAATCTTCTTTATTTTGATAGGACATAATCTAGAAATCGCAAGATGAGGCCCACTGCAATTTATGCAGCTGATCTCAGTTGGTTTATCACATTGCTTATACAAGTGTTCACCTCCGTAAACAAATACTACATCTTTGTTTCCCATTACAAATCTTAGCTGAATGATTGAATTTAAAACACCTATAGCACTGTAGTAAAGGTGGAATGTATTCGAAAACTCTGTACGAGAATAGATCGTATTGTACATTATTAGGCAGTACATTAGATAAGAAAGTGATGCTTACAGTTTGCAATGCAATGCGCTCTTGTCCTACCTTCTTTGAAAACCTTCTTATTGCCACTATTTCTACACATCAATTAACAAATCTAATTATGCCGGTTTTTTCAATTTGCGCTGCCGGTATGAACGCCTTCATGTCATATTTTGTCAGGAAAGTGGTATTATTAATAAAATTATTTGCCGTATTATACTGCTTGAATATTACTGCTATTTTATTGGCATTCACCCTCTGAATACCCGTCACACCTTTTATGTCCATTGCGAAAATATGATTTAAATATATAGGGCTCTTGTTGCCCAATCTATCGTCGTTTGTGGATTCCACATACACTTTAAAGTCTGTGTTGGTTGAGTTTTCAGGATAAAGTCTTTTATAGTTCGGTTTGTAATAGGGCAGATACGCATCTCGCTCATCGCCGCAGTCCGATCGTCCAGCGCCTACGCCTCCTCCTTCATCCGTAGGCCTTAGCCGTTTTATTGAGGCGGGCGGGTGAGACCAGCCCCCCTCGTTTACCTCCATTGCTATTGTGCTTTTCAGCAGCTAATAGCAATATTTAAATTCAACTATAAAAAAATCACTATTTATAGAAAAAAATTAAAATTAAAGTTTAAAGTCAACCGCGCTTTTTCAAGGTTCCCGCCAGAATCTCAAAACGGGTTTCATTTTTATATATATAGATTATGTATTTGTTATTATAATGATTTATTCTGTGATTTCGTAACAAAGTTTAGTCTGCAAATAAAATTTAAAAAAACTTGCCAAGTGGCAACATTTTTCAACTTCCGTAATCCGTTTTATTTTATGGATTGAATCAGTGTGACCGTTTTTAGTATATTCAGTACCAAATTGGTATAATTTGGGCTCCCTGTAACTAATTTAGTATTTTTTTGGTATCCTTTTATATTCTGGTATTTTTTGGTACATTTAAACTTTCAACATTTTAAAACACATTTTGATATATTTTTGGGCTGGGCGGTAAACAGTCACTTCCATTCGTTCGTATTTCGTTCACATGTTTTTGTCTTTGTCTGATGTTTACCGCAACTGTATCATTTTGTCTCTTTCGATCGGTTAATGCTAACAAATTCGCGAATCGTGCTTTAGCTACGTATTACTATCTACGTTACGTGCTGTATAAAAAATACCACGGATGTTTTAGTTCTTTATTTATTTCTCTCTGTGTGCATGTGTAGTGAAGATAATGAAGCGTAAATACGATCAGAAATATAGATCTGAGTGGGAACAAAATCCTGAATTTTCGTCATGGTTGACAAAAGATAAAAATAATGAGAACGCCTTGTGTAAAACTTGTGGAGCAACATTTTTAAGCAGAATCGCTACAATTAAAAGTCATGCATATTCTGAAAAACATCGGCAGAAACTTATACATTATAGTGGACAATCCAAGGTAAGAAAGCTAAGCCCCCATTAACATATTTATAAGATTATTGTGTCCCTTATTTTTTTATGGCATATGAATTAATTGTCCTACTTCTACAGGCTGTCCGATGAATCTTGGATAGTACATGTACAGTTGTTCACACATGTATAATTGATTCTCAAGCGATTTCAAGCTGAATTTTAAAATTTTCATAAATGAGACACTAGTCTTTTAAAATAAAAAAAAGGTATTTTACTTATTTTTTACGATACGAAAATTAATCAAATCCTGTTTATTTTCAGAACGATGATAAATTACTTCAAAGGAAAGAACCCATATCTGAAGAAGTAAGAAAAGCAGAGCTTATATTTTATGCAGCGTTGGCAGAACAGAAGTAGAACATACCATCTCGGGCCATGGATCATCTCAGCGATTTATTCAGCAAAATGTTTTATGATTTGGAAATCGCAAAGGGCTTTTCCTGCAAACGCACTAAATCTGCTCAGTTAGCTCAGTGCAGCGAATACTGACTTAGTATTTGTAATAAAACTTATTGTAAATATTTATTATTATTTTAATATGTCTGTATTATGAAGGTGTGTAATTGGTAAAATTAAAAAGTAACTGATAATAAGTGTTTTAATAAAAAAAATCCTCTTTTTCTTTTAGTATATTTTTAGTATAATTCAGCATGTGTTTTGGTATTATTTAGTACTGGCACCTTGTAGTTTTGGTAGATCGCCATTTTTTAAAACGGTCACACTGGATTGAATTCACATTGAGTCATGACTGAAGAGTGAAGACTGTCAAGTGTCATTTAAAATTTGAGTTTTAGGATAATGGACTGTGCATTTGGGTCTTGGGAACTTAGGTTGTAATTATTAATAATTGTAGTAATCGTTTCAGATGTTTCAATTTTAAGTTCTTGGTTAAGGGATTGGTAAGGTTGCGTCCTATATGTTACTTTTCCTATTGTTATCTTTTGCAATGAATTAGGCGACATACAGCCCTAATGGCGAGTATTATAACGGCCGTTGAGCGTCGTCTGAATTCTTGAAAATATAGTAGTTAAGTGATTATTGTGATTGATTATTAGTGATTTAATGTATTTTTTATTAACGTTATTTTCTTTTAAAGACTTTCGATTTTTCTCGTTAAAACTTATTCCATATGCCACGCGACAAATTTTCCGTTTCTTCCGTCCCTGTACATCTACTTTTTGTTTCTCATTGGAGTTTCTATTCGTCGAAAATAACAAATAACTGTTGTAATTGTTCCAAAGAAATACCCACAATCGTTTCGTTTTTTGTTTATGGTTATTAATGGAAAGTATAATGGTTTTGATGGTCTTATTACATTCTTGTTAAATTTAATTTCTATCACTTATATTTATTAATATATATACATTGGTCTGCATATAAATGTGTAGTGTTGCAGTGTATCTGTTAGGTTTGTTTCTTTATGTTAAAGTCCTATATTTGCATCAACTTCCTGTGGTACTTTTACAAGTGGTAAAAGTGGTGGTGTTTCTCCAAGTTTCTAATATTTTGTACCAATTTCAAATTCCATTGTGTTCAAACACATACATTTCTTAACAGTATTTCCTTTAGTCAAGATCTTTTTGATACACAAAGACAAGTAAAATGATTCTTGAAGTACACATTCACTGATCTAAGTTGTTTCTTATACTTAAAAATGAGTGTCAGTGAATCCCATTTCCAACCAAGAAATGTGTGAAAGTTACCTAAGAAATGTTTAGTCTTGACATATAAAAAATCTGCTTTATTCAATGTCCTATTGGTTATTTCTTAATAATTTGTTTACTCTGTTTTTTTAAATTCAACTTTAGTCCCTATGATTTTGTTTGAAAAATACCTGTAATTAGTACAATTGATGTGCAAACTTATCTTTGTTCATTCTGTTATGTCAGTATGGTCAGTTAATGTTATATTCACATTTTTGTTGTTATTGGTTATTGGTTTTTTTAAACATATATTATGGATGATTTTATTTATTATGTATACTAGTTTTTTAGTTTTACTGACAATTACTGTGTAGTATAGAGTCCATTAATAAGATTTCTATTTGGAGGCTTCCTATGAACTAATACTTGTTACATTTATTTTACTCTTTAGCGGGCCATAGACAGACCGCGTGGGGTTGCTCAGGACTGCTCGAACGGTCCGTGTATTGAGAATATGAATTTAGTATGGAAACTGCAGATCGCCGTGCGGCGACCGCATGTTGCAGTCAAGACCGACTGTGGCCTGCTTTTGTTTTGTAAGGTTCCATGTCTTGATAGTAGTATTGGTTATCAGTCACCTTTTTAATTAGTATTTTAAAATCCTTGTCAGTTACTATTACTTATTCTTGAAAATTACATTTAAAAATAATGTTATTAACATTTTAATGTATTAATTTGTTATATTTTAATACGTTTATCATACCTAGTCATATTATACATCATTCTCATATAATTTTCTCCATCATTTGCAGTTGGTCAGCTAAAATGGTTGTTATAAAATGGCATATGCTCTTCCTGAATGCTATCCCGAACTTGCTTCTATTATTAATTTTTTATGGCTTTTTATTGATGGGCACTATACAAATTATAAGCTACCAAAGCTGGATGGAAGTGTAACAGAATCAATGTTTCATTAAAATAATGAATCCATCAATTCCTTTTGCTATAATAGCACCCTTTCTATTGGAATCATACTGAAGAGACATGTATACTGCAGGTGCCAGTTACTATTACTTATTCTTGAAAATTACATTTAAAAATAATGTTATTAACATTTTAATGTATTAATTTGTTATATTTTAATATGTTTAACATACCTAGTCATATTATACATCATTCTCATATAATTTTCTCCATCATTTGCAGTTGGTCAGCTAAAATGGTTGTTATAAAATGGCATATGCTCTTCCTGAATGCTATCCCGAACTTGCTTCTATTATTAATTTTTTATGGCTTTTTATTGATGGGCACTATACAAATTATAAGCTACCAAAGCTGGATGGAAGTGTAACAGAATCAATGTTTCATTAAAATAATGAATCCATTAATTCCTTTTGCTATAATAGTACCCTTTCTATTGGAATCATACTGAAGAGACATGTATACTGCAGGTGCCAATGTAAGGTTGGGAAAGTACTGAAATTTTTTTTTAAATCTTTAATAGTCAGTCAAAGGCTGCATAAATTTAAACAATGCATTATTTTTATACTAACTCGGAAAGCCATCAGAAAAAAGATATCACCAGGATAAATGTAAAATATCAATTTGTCTGTTTTTAATTACTTAATACCAACATAGTTAAAATAATTGGTCAAAATAGTTAAAATAATTGGTGTAAATTAAAAATGTTTTGTATAGGTATGTGAAGCAGTGGTAGATTTTGCATAAAATCAAAAGCTGCAACATCATTTTGTTCCTTACCAAGATCTTGATGAAACTGATGAAATCTTGGCTTGTCTTGTCAACTTGTACCAAATGTTTTTCTGATAAAAGTTATATTGTTTTATTTTGTTGATAGTTCTTCATAAGTTATACATGTTTTTGGCTCACTATAACAAGGGACTGTGTTCATTTTTAAGTCTCAGACCGATTAAAATCATTATATATATGGGTAGTTCTTATATAAAAGGTTTTTCGTCTATGGAGGAGACGGCCAAGAAGAAAAGTTGGAGTTTTTCCATTATACATATATATTATGACTTTTGGCCAGTTTATGTATCTACTCACGTAAGGGCAAGATACTTAAAACATATTTTGTCACTTTTTAGAAGGCCAGGGTAAATACATCAGGCAGGGTAGAGACATGAAGATCAGTGTAGATACGTATTTGACCAGGGGAGATAATTAGAAGCAATAAAACAAAGAATACAATTGAAATAATCAACTTTTATCAAAGATTGTTCTTGAAATTTATAATCAGGCAACATTGTTTATCATATTTATTATTAATCAGATTAAATGCGCCGTTTTTAAGCGTTTCTTTGGATGTCGACGGTTGTTGAATATTTTTTATTTGGTGCTTGCGATCTTTTGAAGTTATATTATTTGTTCAATGTCAAATGGAGTCTCGTTTTCTGACTCTGAATCGGGGCCGTAAACATCCTCGACTCGGAGACGAGATGTTTTATTAGACGAGTGTGTCATGACACCAAGCTTAAAATGATCGCAATGTATATCTTCATTGCAAAAGCAGCTTAAAGACATCATTTTTAATGTTATCGGATCTTCAATGTTCCATGACACCTGATGGACGCGCAAAGTACCAGCAAAAGTCTTTATGTGTGTTTTACCACTAGCAAGCAAAGCGTCTTTGTCTAAAATATCTTTGTCATTTATAACAAAAACATTAATGCTAGGACAGTTTTTCTGAATAGCATCTGACAAATCGCTCAGACATACTATATCTTTGCCACTAGCTACCAATAGGTCGGCTGATTTTTTGCAAACAGCACCGACACCATCTGGAACTCCCTTACCGTGTCCAGCTTCATGGTAATTCCTGGTAAAGTCTCTAAGAGCTGGGTAAAATTCTATTAAATGAGGGACAAGAAAATAAAACATGTATTTGTTGCGATATTGTGTTACGGGTCCATCGCTCCAAAAATGAAGGATCTCTACTTCTGGTGGCAAGCTGTTCAAAATTGGCTGTAAGTATACCCATATAGCTGGAGGCGAATGTTACAAATTTTGTGACATCGAACAATAGCATGATGTCTTTACTTCACCTGATGCCTCTTCTTTCGTGTAAGTCACAACTGTGTGCAGACTTATCTGTTGACGTGCACCTCCAAAATGGAATGCTTGAATTTCTCCTGCGTATTTTGTTTAAAGTCACTAAGGTCCACGTGAATCACAGCTTCTCTTACTGTCAAATTTGTCTTATTAATTTTAAAAGCAGAATGTTGGTGGACTATATTCAGTTCATGGTGAAGAAAATACTCCAAGTTGTCTCTAACTGCATAATCAAATCACGTAGATAAATCTGAATCACCTTTTTCAAATATTTGGTCACCTTTCTGGTCTTATGCGTTTTAGGATCTGTTATATTGGTAGTCTTGGATTCCCACTTTCTGCAAAAAATTTGATTACTAATATCAAATTCTTTGTATAGAAGTCCTTTATTTTTACAATTGATGCATTCTCGCGAAAGACACTGTTCGTTATACCTATTGCAACAAATTATACGAAGAAGATTTTCATGGTTTGAAATTGGTGTAACTTTGGCTTGAAATAGTGCCGTAAGAATCAGATCCACATTGGCATGTGTAACACACAGACAATAAATAGGTGGCACAATTACTATGATACATATCTCCCCTGGTCAGTAAGTCTCGCCCCTGGTAGTAATCTTACCAGGGGAAAGACGTTTTCATAACAATACATTATTTTGGTTTATACAAGAAAGTTTTCAATTAATAATAAATCAAGCTTTGACTATTACAGTATTACTAAATTAGGACAGGAATCGCAAATAAATAAAATGATTATTATAACTTTTATTACTTACCAGTGGAGAGACACAATGACCTTGCGAAACCGTTACATCGCACGGACGCGTCACAAAAACTGGCAAATAGCGTCGATCTAACCGCTTCTGTGCTTAGTATCGCTAACTTCACGTTGTTAAATGTCAATTAGCGAGTTCGGGAATGTGGCCATCTTATATTTTATATTGTAGCAGCGGTGCGAATATGCCAGGGTAGATACACAAAAAAAGCGGGACAACAATTCAGTTTAAAAATTATTGAAAATAAGCAAATATTTTTCAATTTTTCTTTAATAATATTAAAGTATATTTACTTAAATTTGTGGTAAACATAGTTTGTTTTAGCAAATAATACAAATATTGTGTGTATTGTATGCTAGTTAAGCTGAAACCTGTAAGGGGACAGGCCAGGGTAGAGACTTTTTTAGACTATATAACGAGTTTTACAAAAATGTGCTTTAATTAGACATTTAATTGTAATGTTATTTAATAAAGGACATTAAAGTGATGTGATTTATTGCACAAAATAGCAACATATAGATTAAAAAAACACTTTTAAATAGATTGCCATCATAGTCATCACCTCTTATAAGAGAATCACCCATATATCTTTATTAACATAAAAATAAAATGTATGCTTATTATGCTAAAACTTAGTTTAGGCAACTAAATAAATTGCTAGGTAACAGATTTTTTTTTGAATTTGAATATTGCTTCATAATATTCACCTTATCCACTGTAGGCATTCATGGATACATTGATCATACATTTTAAACTTCAGTCTTGCATAATACAGTCTTTATCAGTTTTAGTACAGTAAAAAAAATGAAAATGCAGCAGCAATGTAGCAATCCTACGGGTTTTCTTGGGCCTCACATTAGTGACTTGCTTGATATTGTGACTTCATAAAACAAAGCTCTTTGAAGAAAGGAACGAAGGAATATATTAGCCCTGAACAGGTTTCTTCAAAATCAAAGAAGTCATTGTTACTCACTTGTTTGATAAAAAAGGGTTTAACTAAATTAAATTAACCTGCAATAATAATCTCATCAGTGATAAAGCCACAAGTAAGGCATTGTCGCATATCATCAACTCAATCCTCTACAAGCTGGACAGTACCAAGAACGTTTAATATCGTGACGTTTTGGCTCAGACTTCGTTAGCTTATCTGCTGTCAAAGAAGCAGTTTACTGAGGTTCGCTTTCGCGTTGCAGCAACTGCAGGTTGTGCATTTGTACAGTAGTGACTGACCATGATTTTGGTGTCTTTGTTTTAATCTTTATTATAGATGAAGTACCAGGAACATCTACCCTTGACGTTGGTACTTCTGTTGTTCGATCTGTGATGTTTGGTACATCTGTGATGTGGAATTCGTAGTATTATCAAAATAAACTTTTGTCACCTGATTGTTGAGCCCTGTAATTCAGAGACTTCTTGCGTGGAGCAGTGGCTCTAACTTTAAACTTAGGGAGTTGGTAAAAATTAATGCATCTCACACGTAGTTGATTGATTGTCTATCTTCTGTGGAGTTCCAGCATTCGGAATGTTTATAAGAGGACAGAGGCAAATTCTCAGTACCTGTCCCTGACCCATCTTAACCTTCCACATTTACAGTTAAAATCTCTTATTCCGCCGATTTATCAGATAAGACAGCAATATTTTCACTGTTTATTTTATTTTATTTTACTGGTTTGTTCGGGCTGCTGACTGACTATATCATCAACTCTTGGTGCTTGGTCAATTATAACAAAAGAAAAGGACAAAAAAAAATAAAAATGCTGTGAAGCAGTAGTTACGTGTGAATAGTGTCGCTGCAGCTTTTTGTAGTTCCGACGTGGTGTGGTTGTGATACGTGTGAAACAGCCCTATATCATAGAGTATAGTAATATAGAGGGAATAGAGAGTCCTCTGACGGCAATTTAATGCTATCACGATCGAAGCGTGGAAAAGCGACCTCTGCATTTTATCCCCGAAAACTAGTGTACTATAGCTGCGTACTTCGTGGTATTATTATGCTCAGCAATACTAAATTACTTTGAAACTGTTTGTTTGAGTTTCTGTTAGAATTTCATACACGTTTTGGGTTCTACAACATAATTTGCATTTATTAGGCATTGTGTAACCTAAAGTATGTTAAGAAATCAGAAAATGACAAATAGAAACAGGAACAAAAAGTTTCAAAGTACCTAAATTGTAAATAAGTACAAGACATGTAATATAAAACTAGGAAACGAAATAGATAGGTCATTTTTTATTTTTTTTAAGCTTGTGCTTGTTATAATAAACTTGAGCTGTCATTTTGTAATAATCACCATTTTCGTCATAGGTCAGTTTCCATCGAGAATTCGGTTTATTGACCTGCACCAACTATAAATCAAAATCTTTATTGATATGTCCATAAACTGTTCTTTCAATTAATTTTTCTGTTGATCACAATTAAATAGAAAATCAATTAAAACGTCAGCCAAAATAACCACTGAAGCCTTGAGGTTCTTTTTTGTGACATTTTCAATTTGAAGTTCTTGGAAGCAAATTTCTACTTCTTAGCTGGGATATGTGAGCCAATTTTTATTTTGATATTCGAATAAAGGTGGTGTTGTCATTTTCACATGTTTCATCAATTAGGGCTTTTCTGCATTCTAAACAACGCTTCACGACTTTTTTTTAATAGTTTTGTCAGCACCCAGCCACAAACATAATTTCGCTGTCCAGCATCTACAGTTTCTAAATTTTGCATCAGAATTTCACTGTGGCATGGAATTTCTGTTTCTGGTTCATCAGATAGTGGCTTTTCAGCGTTCTGGGGATTTAGAAAAAAATTAAGGTCCTATAAACATTCGTTTTCATTAGCTTCGCAGTTTGCCCGAAGGGAGTGCTGAGTGTTAAAGTTATTCAACAGTAACGCCTTGTATGCCCTAACTGCTTTCTAACCCTACAGTGTTAGGGGCAACATTTCTCACTCCGTAACTCCTAATGTTCCCGAAGAAATTCTCAACTGGGTCTTGGTTTAAGTTTCTTGTTAATAATGCATCTAAGCCGTATTTTTTGTGACGACTTTCCATATTTCTTCCATACCTTCAATGGTCTTATTAGGTTAGTTACTGACGGAATAGTGACTTCAGTAAACCTGATTTTGTTGGACTGCGCCTACGTTGACTGAACTCTAGTCACAGACTGTGTTTATTATAATTAAACCAGATTTTTGGGCTACTGTTATAAATCTACCTATTTCAGTTTCCTGAAAAACTTAGGTCCACTATACTGGACATTATCATGTTCATAAGAAACTAATGCACTCCAACCGCGTGCAGTATACTTCCCATTGTCAAAGAGAAAGAATGAAAGAAACAAGTGATTCCGTAGGAAAATAGTCATTATATTTTAGCAAATCAGTCTCTAGTTACGTAGTTGGTCCCAAAGTTCTGTCACTAGCACATTATTTCTACATTTCGAGCAGGATTTTATAAAAAAATTATTGCATTCTATTTTGGAATGTTTGATTATTGTTTTAAAACAAAAAACAATAACTTTCCGTAATTTTTCACGATGGAGTGGACATTGAAAGTAAACCGAATAGTTGATATTGCGTTGCACCGCTGTGGACACTCGCCGAGTACCATTTTCAAGTTGCTCAAAAATTTGAATATAACGCTTAGGTTTGTGTACGGTACTATTGATAGGTACCTTGAAGTCTCCAGTGTTGAGGACAAGAAAAGAACTGGCTGGCCACGCTCCGCAAGAACACCAGCAGTAATCAAAGCTATCAAGGCGCGGATAGTAAGAAATCCTGTCCGAAAACAGAAGTTGATGGATTTGCAGATGGGTGTCAGTAGGAAAACAGTAAAAAAGGTTTTAAATGAAGATCTTGGTCTACGAGCATACAAAAAAGAGTGGGCACTTACTTAATGCTCGTCTAAAAGCAATAAGGCTTAAGAGATCGCGGGTGTTGTTTAAGCGGTACGCGAAAAACCGACACCGTGATATCCTCTTTACGGACGAAAAATTTTTCGATATTGAAGAGAAGTACAATAAACAGAATTATACAGTGTACGCTAGGAGTTCTGAAGAAGCTGAAAATAAAGTTCCAAGGGTGCAACATGGACATCATCCATCATCAGTAATGGTTTGGTTGGGAGTGTCCTATTACGGGCTAACTGAGGTTAATTTTTTCGAAAAGGGGGTCAAAACCAGTGCTACAGTGTACCAAGAGACGGTTTTGTATCGCCTTGTCAAAGACATGTCCAGCACCCTATTTGCGGGACATCACTTCGTGTTCCAGCAGGACTCTGCGTCTGCATACAAAGCCAAGACCACTAAAGCCTGGTTTGAGCGTCAAAACATCGTCTTAATTAGACATGAGGATTGGCCTTCCTCCAGTCCGGACCTTAATCCTTTGGACCAGAAATTATGACAGGGCTTAGAGAGGAAGGTCTGTGATAAACCTCATGAAAATTTGGAGAATCTGAAGTCATCTTTAAAAAAACCAGTGACTGAAATCGACACGAATATGGTGCGTGCTGCGATAGACGACTGGCCGCGACGCTTAAGGGCCTGTATTAAAAATGAGGGAGGTTATTTCGAATATTTTTATGCTTTTTTTATTCCTTAATTAATGTACTAAGAATTGATATATCACTCATTACAAACTGATCAGTACTTTTGTTTTTATCATTATTTCCATTTATGACAGAACTTTGGGACCGACTACGTACATTGCTTACGCTTAAAACACTAATAGTGTTCGGAAAGTAACCGAACACCTTGTAAAATAGCATAAGTAGTAAGTACGTATAGTTAGATCGCCGCCTGCGCGCGACGCTTTTCTATATAGGTACATCAGTGTGTCATCAACCATCTCCGCGATCACTCATTAAATTAGTTTTTAAGAGCAAAGCAATCTTTTATTTAAATATCATTAAAGTGTTTTGGCAGCAGCCCGAACATTTTTGGTCCTTCGAGCCTACGTACAGGCGGGACCTGGAACGCGAGTTTTCGTGAAAGTTTCGTGTGTACGAAGTGCTAGCACCATTGCATTAAATCATCAAGTGCGGTGAGCTGCACCAGCTCCCACACAGCATACATCAGTTCTGGTTCGGCAAGCCAGCAGGCTTGCTACCAGGGTTAGCAGCATCAGCATTCGTGAGGTGGCCAGGCAGGCTAACCACACAACAGCATCACTTCCTGTGGGCGAGCCAGGCAGGCTTGCTACGCAGCAGCATATAGCATCGACAGCACCGCGCGGTTTCGAGCAACAGCACAACAGTAGCAGCATATCAAGTGAGATCTTTCCATATTACTGCTTAATCCAGTATGGATCTCGATAATCTTATTGAAAATCAAAAAACAACCTTTGAGGCTCTCGAGTCGTTACAAAGAAATATCAAAAAAAGACCCCGCGGAAAGAAAGTCGCGACCGGACTATGCTAGGCGTAAGTTAGCTAATCTGGAAGACCTGTGGTCTGACTTTCAACAAAATCACATACAGTTGTGTGCCTACGAAGAAATCAAACAGCATCCGTACATTATCAATTCAGAATATCAATTGGCAACAACTTTGTATGAATCTACAAAGGCATTAATCAAGCAGATACAAGCAAGAGGTTCTGTCCATCATCCTATATTAGAAAAGGCATCTATTTCTGGTGTAAGGGATCGGGCAGCCTCTCCACTGTCAGCTATTAAGCCAGCGGAAACCATCGTGACTCCAGACGCAGCAGAACAGCATAATGAAGGTAATCAGCCTAGTCAACAGCAAACATCGTCTAATGTCACCTATGAATCAGTACAGCAAGCAGAACCCCCGAAATCCAACGGGAAACTTCGGGAGCTCCTTAGAAAGCAGATATCAAACTTCAAAGCATTCGAGAGAACAGTCAGCAACATAGATTTAAGTAGCATGTCCGAAAAATGGGAGTTTGAATACACCCTAAAATCAATACAGCAGCGCTGGTCAACTATAGACTCTCTTCACTGGGAGGTCGACATGTACCAAGAAGGTGAGGATGAGGTATATCAAAGCATATTTTCTAAGCATGAACGAGCATACAACGAGTACATCAAATCAATCAACAGCAAATTATGGTCCGTTGCACATCGCGAGTATTCTACGCCCAAAATGGATATTCCAGTTTTTACGGGTAATTACCAGCACTGGACCTCATTCAAGGACCTTTTCCTAGAAACAATCGACCGCAACCCGTCCTTATCAAATGCACAAAAAATGCAGTTTTTGAAGAGCAAGGTGAAAGGTGAAGCCGAAAATTTAATTCGCCACCTACAAATCAGTTCCGAAAACTACACTATATGTTGGGAAATCCTAAATAACAGGTATAATAATCAAAGATTAATATTCACATCACACATGAATATTCTGTTCAGTCTCCCAACCATGCAGCAGCAGTCATTGATCCAGATCAAGAGGATGCATGACACAGCAGTCGAGGTACTTAATGCTATAAAGAACCTAGGTGTCAACATAAGCACCTGGGACCCCATCATAGTTCATATCTTATCACAAAAACTCGACACAGAGACTATGGCTGACGCTATAGCGGCAAGACGATGTTGTTTTGCTTGCTTATTTCTGTAATTTAAGCTTTTAATATTCTATAAACAATCGTCCTTTATGTATTCTTCAATGAACTTCATTGTCGTGTCTTCCGTCCACTTCGACATTTTCGAAAGATTTTTATTTATAAATTAAGTAGGAACTACGTTGCAATCACTCCGCCAGCTTATGCTTTTCACTTAAATTTAACGAAATTTTGCCTGTCCAAACGTATCAAGTGATTAGCCACGCCCACCAAGTTAACCGAAAAATAGACAAAATTCTATTCTACCTTGTTTGCTTGACACTAAATTTTAACTTGCAACTTCTTACTAAATTAACTGTTTACACGGGTTAAGTCACCTAAAATTAAGTTAAAATGTAGTAAATTTTCAGTCAACTTGATACGTGTAAATTAGGCGTTAGGCTGCAACCGTCTGTGGTTTGAGCGACGATGTTATTTGTTAGAGATACCCCATATTGATCCAACTTGGCCTCAATAAATTGTATGCATGACGCTGCATTCATGGACCCGTGAATGCGTATGAGACCTAGATTTCGAAAACTGCTATCCCTTGCGAAATTTGGTGAATGTAAAGTGAACCCTGTATATCTCCTATTTTTATTGATATCGAAAACTTCTTTTCATCTGACAGTATAATTTTAAATTAATGGTAATTATGGTTAGTTAGCGAAGAAGTTGTGGACGCCTACAAAACGGCCATTTTAGAGACCCCAACTTCCGAATGGAATGGTTGCTTCAAGGATTGGTTTCATCGTATGAAAAATGTGTCAAATTTCGCGGAGAATACTTCGAAAATCAATAAATACATTTTTAAATAGTAATGTTGTGTCACTTCCTTGATTCCCGAAATTTTCAGTGCCGCCCTCGTATACCTACTTTTGTAAAGTCCAGCGAGCGGTGAGAAGAAGGTATTTTGGTACCCCAACGACTAGCTAAAACTATTAAAAACCTAAGAGAATCATTAAATAACTTTTTCGAAGTTTAAGAATCCTTAAGAATCGATTTTCATATATAAGGCGTCCGGTATGAGAAAAATGCGAGGAGTAAAATCTACTGATAAATGACTTCGTTACTTTTTTGGTGCGCACCTATATTTTAAAGGATTATGAACCTTCGTGCTATTAACTATATAGCACGGTTTTAATTTATTTGTCTCTTTCCTCAGATACATTGATGCACGTGGAATTGGACCTTAAGTCAATACGTCAAGGTTTAATTTTGCGAAACGTCTAAAGCTTTATTTTGGTGCGCACCTATATAATAAAAACGAACAATTAGATTTAAAAAAATATGAAACATAAATTTGTAACACTAATACACTTATAATGTCTAGTATTTATCCTTTTATACAAACAACAATAAAAATACGATACACATGAATGTGGAGTGATGCGCCCGTCCGTTCGCGTCGAGGTCCCGAGAGACACAGACGGCACGCTGTGTGCACATCAAAATGGCGGCTTCTAGTCGCGAAGCTAAGCGCGAATCTATACGAACGAACTTCACCTTTGCCCTGTCAGCTTACACAGCTTGCAAATTTTTATCATTATATTTCGCTAAAGTGAACTAAAAATATTTTGAAATAACTATGGCAGAAAGGGGTATAGATGAAATTGCCGGAAAGTTTAATGTAAAATATTTCGCCGATTAGTTATAATAAATGTATATAAAATGAATAAATATATATTTATATATGTATATTATTTTCATTAATTTGTTATTAATCTTTTCATATGGTATTAATCTTTTTTCAGTTAAATAAACTCTTTTTGCGTCTGTTTAGATAATCGTACTTAAGGAGTAAACTCCAGTCGTGCGTCGGAGGACACACACAGTTTTTTTGTTATATCGTAAAAAAAAATAAAAAATATTTTTTTTGGATTTAAGTAATACTTCATAAATAGGTATACTATGAATATTTTATGTACTGCTGTTGCCACTCCCGACGTTATTAGTTTTGTTGCCTGCGGAGGCCGTCCAGTTCACGCGATCACCACTCGTAACCCCCCATGCCGTTTAGGCTCTACCACTCCCAAGCATTGCCCCGCCGAAGTCACGACAGCGGAACGCCGAACAAATAGCCTAAGCAGGAGCGTTAAACGTTATCCTGCCCACGCGCAGTGACAGGTCCGAGTGGAACCGGTCCCAATCCACCCCACGGTCTCGTAACCTCATCGGCTCCGTGCCCTGTTCTGAGCTACGCGCGTGATTTAATTGGCCCGAAGAATTAGCCGAGCCGAGATGGATCACGAACGTTATCAGGCTGTGGTCACTCGTGCTGAGATCGGCGTGCACGGTCCATTCGTCGATTCGAACTCCTCTCGTTCCCATAGTCGCATCTATGTTAGAGCTCCCATTCGGTGAACTAAAGGTGCCCGGTTGGGCTTGGACGTTGTTGACTAGGAAGGCCCCACGACAGCACAAAACTCCATAGCCGTCCTACGTTGCTCTGCCAGTCTACCTCTTCCTCTACACTGCTCTTCGACTGTACCACAGTTAAGAGTGGGTGTTCGTGTCGACGCCGATTACTGCGGGTTTCCCTCGAAGAGCCTCCAGCACACACTCCAAGTGCTCCAAGTGTGGGGCTATCTCATCGCTGTACTGGAAGTACGCCGACACCACGTACACGGCGTTCTCCTTTCCTCCAAGCTGTGCCACAAAACAATGAGACGTGCACAAGTTGCGGAATACATTTGGAATTGGTGCCACGTCGTGCTGGTATAGCCCCTACAGCAGAGCGGCCGCCGCCTGCACCAGACAGACGCTGAGGCTCAGGTATCAGGTTAATTTTTCCGACCGAGATGTCCATCTTGTCTCCTCGTGAACCTACAATCCATAGTTGGTTCTAAGGACCGCTTTTCCGCCGCTTGTCTCGCCGGGCATTGGGCCGAAGCGGTTCAGTGATCCTTCGAAGGTTTCCCGGCTCTTTTTCAGGTAGCGCAAAGCATTTCGGCATTTCTACCTCCGGAATGTGATTTTGCACGCCTTGTGTGTGTGACCCTCTTGTGTGGGCCTCCCGCACGATGTGACGCTCCTACTCTATGTATACGCATTTCTTTGCGACCAGCTTGTCTCACCAAGCTGGACTACACCGAAGCACCACCGTGGTGCATGCATCTCCTCGCGTGCTCGTCTTGAAGGCTACGTCGACCTCCTCTTTTTCCACTCCGTCTTGCCCTCAAAGTTTTGGGTGTGCATTAAAGACCTGCGCGGTGCAAACCCCGCGTCTCGCCCTTGTCGCTCCAACTCTTCCAGCTTGTGCTCCTTTGACGCCATTATGGCGTACGGATCCGGCACGTTTGTGCACGCCTAAATCCCTGCTGGTCCAAAAGACTTTCCCACAAACGGGCAGGTGCAACCAGGCGCCGCCAGCTTGGAAGCGGCTTCGCCCGATCGACCATCCAGCGGTGGGTTTATCGCCGACCCCGAACCCAGTGAGAAGTCGGGGCTCACGTTATAATTTTCCATATTTCTTGTGCCAGCGATTATGATTAACCCCCAGGCGCGGACTGCTAATCCAACGCCCCAGGTACGACTGGTAATTTTCGTTACACCCCAATCCTTAGATAACTACCGGACTTGAGTGCTCGCCTAAAGATGGAAGGTCTGCAGCTCCATTAGGGGTAACACTGGGAATTTCACCCAGTGTCAACACCTGAATTAACGTCAAGGTGTCAGACGTTGCACGCTCAAACTTTTAATTTTGAAAAGACAAACCTAAACTGTTCTTTAGTTTTCTCAGCCACGTAGTGTCCCACGGATGTTGGAGCCCTTGGCGATGACGCTTCTGGCGAGTCTATCGCCTTTTTTTTTTGCTTCACCACGTGGAGAGACCGAGACCGGCGTACGCTCCTGGCAGACCCGCCGCCGGTTCACCTCCTCCAGTTCCAGCGGTGACGTCACCTTACGCTTTCGCGCCCCATCGTTCCGTGGTCGCGCCGTGGGGTCCGCATCAAAGATCTGCGCGGTGCTAACCCCACCTCTCGCCCTTGCCGCTATAGATCTTCCAACTCGCGTTCCTTTGCCGCCATTATGGCGTCACGCCAGCAAGTGAAACAAAGAAAAGGTTTCGAGTACTGAATTTAGCACTTAATAACGAAAAAAGTAACAAAAATATCAATAACTCTAGTTCTACTGTGTTTACTAGCACTTACCGCGCAGCGAGGTTCGCCACTCGGCCTTTCCTTTTAAAATCCTTCCAAATCCTAAGCACTTCACTTGGTCAGTTCACTTTCACACTTGTATATAAAGGGTGTCTCAGAAGGATTTTCGTTTTTGAATTGACCAATACGCGCCAACCGCAGGGCGCAGGGGCAGGGGAGAGGACACTCAAACGCTTGGCCGGCTTGTTAAGTTAAGAAGCCGTGAAATTATAACTGTGCCCTAAAGCACGCTCGTAATTATAAATCGACACTGAAAGAGTGTTAATAAAAATAAATATCGTGGAGCAATAATACGCCACGTGTACACGTCCGCTCGCTACGAATGCCGATCGACGAGTAGGTAATGCTATCACAGGGATTTCCGCCATAGACCTCTTGTCTAATCCCAAAACCGAGCTGAGCTAGTTATGGAAGCGTGGACTCCGAAACCACACTTTTCGCGATGAGAGTCGTCCAAAAACCTGCCCCCCGATACTACTTGTGCTTCAAAAATGACACATGAACAAATACCTTTCACGGAATGACACAACACAATTCACTTTCTATTTATTTTTAAAATAAAAGTGAGGGACACTTGATTTATACAAGGAAAACCTCATTAAATTAATAAACCCTAAATGCTATATAATTCTAAGATGTCGTTATGCCATCGCGTTTTTTCACACGCCTAACGCCATCTATTGCTCAAAAAAAATATTAAATTATGAAATGAAACATTCCGCCCACCAAGAACGAGTCCTTTCAACATTAGAGAGTTGCACAAATATTTGATCGATTAACTTTCATAACAAACAAAAAAAATAACATATTCAGTTAAACGTAATATAAAGTTCATCAAGAAAAACAAGTTAGAGAATTCGAATGTTATACTAGGTAAATACGTAAATACTGAATCTAAAATCTACAACAATTAAAAGAAAGAACTATTATAACATTTGTAATTGAATCAAACTTGCCGCCCACCATGATGTAACTAAAAAAATCTAAAATCTATTTCTGAAGTATACTTATTTTACTTAAAGGTCTCTTTATAAGGCCATTCTTACATTTTATGGTTATCACTCTAGTGATATTATCAGGACCAGTATGATTTCCTACAATTGTACGATTGTACCTTTCGCAGAGACCATATTGTTCCGGTGTGTATGCACAGGTTTTTTGATGTACTATTCCGGCCAATTGCAAGAAAATTTTCAAATTCCTTACTGCAGAATTCTGTACCATTATCTGACCTCAACACTTTCAACTTTCTGCCTGTCTGATTTTCTACTAACGTCTTGAATGATGATGATGATGATGAATAAGAAAATACTTCATCTTTGGTCTTCAAGAAATAAACAAATGCCATCCGAATAAAGTCATCGACGAACAACAAAAAATATTTCATTCCACCAATAGATCTGACTTCCATAGGTCCACAGATATCTGCATGCACTATCTTGAGGAGTTCCTGTTCCCTGTTGCCAACATGACTGAAAGGCAGCCTGGATTGCTTCCCCTCACAGCAAACAATGCAGCTAGTCTTACTAACCTGAGCCTTGTCCGAGTATGACATACCTTTTACAGCACCATCCCTCATCACATTAAGATCTTTGCTGTTTAGATGACCAAATCTTCTATGCCATACATTTCCAGACACCGAAGTCAACAAACAATCCACTTGTTTGATTCTTAATTTATAAACACCTCCGACTACATCTGCGATTGCTACAACTTCATTATTTTGGTTATAAATATAACAGTGCTTTTCATAAAAATGGACTTATGTTCTTTTATCACAGTAGGTACGTAAAAACTCTAGATTTTTGGATGGACATGTGTTCTTTTGCTACTCTAGTGGATAAAAAAAGAATGTAGGTCATTTCATTTATTGTTAACTATCTTATTCGATGGACTTATTATGATCTTAAGTCTTATTATGATAAATAGGGATTATGTAATGATTTATTTACTTAAATGTTTGTTGGAACGCTGAATATAAAATTTTTTTCTTATGTGGGAAGAATATTTTATTTTATAACTTATATCTATCACTTATCACTTATCCTATATTATATTATTCCATATCATCCACTGTTGTTGTTGTTGCCCAATCAAATATTGTTTGATAAAATTCTATGTAAGTATCAGGAATGTAACTTTCTAGCTTTTTAACATCTTCAATTGTTCATGACAAATGGTCTTTCTGAAACTATCCTAGTTATTTATGTTGTTTCTGCAAAGTTCTTACACACCTCAGTGGGACTAATGTTGTTTCTGCATCTACTGACATTTTCAATCTCACGTAGCCATTGATATTCATCGGACTAATGTTCTTTCTTTAGGGATTTATAGATCTACCCTCAAGGGTACCATAGACAACAATAACTCAAAACACACAAATTTGGACTAATGTTCTTTTTGAAACTACCGATTCAAATGTCACATTGTTTCCTTTCTCACTAACTGGCTGACTGAAAACAAGTTCGTAGCCAAGTTTGGTACACACTCCCATAACTGTATTCTCATGTTCAATATCTCCAACTAGAGTCGTTATTTGGATATCACCACAGCCTCCAACAGGAATGTTTGTCTTATCAGCGATAATAATGTCTCTAACTTGGTTTCGTTTTTTTACGTTCAACAACCAATCTTTGTTTGACGTTAAATGACAACTGGCGCCACTATCGATGTACCAATCCGATTGATTAAAATTACCGCTGAGAAATATTGCACTAAATGCATTAGATTCCTTGTTATTAGTGTTTAATTTGCATTTATTCATGAAATGTTCGAATTGTTTACATTTAAAGCATTTGACATTGACATTTGACTTGCCGACATTACGCGATTCCGATTGTCTATGCGTTTGTTTTCTTTTTTGTTGCCAACATTTCGACGCAAACGCATTCTGTGTAGAACTCGTACCAACTTCACTTCCATCTTCCATATCCAATCATTTTGACTTAATGACGTCGGCTGTTAGGGTCACCGCACACGGGCGACAACCACAAATCGCCGACACGGGCATATATCCTGTAATTTTCATACATTTTATATGGATCCCCACACACGGTTGGCGCCGGTGGCGGCCACACGCTACAAATCGTCACAGCTTGCTTCTCGTGGCTCGCACCGGCCACTAAACGCCGACACAAAAAGCCGCCACTCGCCACTCGCGCGATTTCGCGCCCCTCTCTCCCTTGCCTCAGTTAACCTGAAGTCGACGGTAACGCACGCACGTAGTCTGTGGTGCATATAGGTAGATAAATATGGATATAGAATTATTTATATCAAAGATACAATCCCGTCCTGCGATTTGGGATTCAAAATGTGATAGTAATAGAGGAGAAAAAGTGAAGGCCTGGAAAGAAATCTGCGAATTGTTTGTGGGAAATTTTTCGAATAAAACTGCCAAAGAAAAGAACACCGGAGGTAAGTTTAGTAAAATAATATAAAACCATATATATTCTATTTTCTTGCCACGGTATTGCTCCTTCATTCATAAAATAATCTTTTAACGTATCTCTTGCAGTAGACGCTCGTGTTACTGGCCAGCCTGTATTTTGTATATTTTCGAGTCCCACTATTTTCAAAGTGTGACGAAAATTGAAACCATCCCTTTTGCGAATAAAGTTGTGCAAAATGCAACAAGCTTTCACAATGTCTTCTGAGAAATGAACAGAAGTGTTTAATGGGCGATGTAATATTCTCTATTTGTTTGCTAGTACGCCGAAGGTACACTCAATGCAACGTCTGGCACGGCTTAACCTATAATTGAAAACTTTTTTGTCTAAGTCCAAATATTTTCTAGCATATGGCCTCATCATATTTTCACTGAGGCCAAATGCTTCATCACCAACAAATGTATAGTTCAATGGTTGTCGATTACCGACCTGTCGTGGTGAGGGGATATTTAATGTCTTTCTGTGTATTTTATTACACAGTTCACTTTCTCTAAATATTGTAGAATCGGATGCTTTACCGTATGCCCCAATATCCACGAACGTAAAAAGTAAATTCGAGTCGCAAGTTGCTAGAAGTACTACTGAAAAAAAAATTTTATAGTTAAAGTACAAGGAGCCGGTATCGAATGGATGAATAATTCTTATATGTTTCCCATCTATGGCGCCTAAACAATTAGGAAAATTTGTATTTTGAAGAAATCCGCTGGCAATTTCATTCCGCATGTCTTGGTCGGTTCTGGAATATAAACGGCTTTTAAATAGTTCCAAATTAGTTGACATGTTTCTTGTACTCTTTTCCTTGTTGTAGAGGCCCCACGGTGGTAAGAGAGTTCAAAATCCTCAAACGAGCATCCAGTTCCTAGATACCTGAAACAATGAAGTATATAATATTTTTTTGTTGTTACAGTAACTAAATTACAGAGGAAGTGGAAGAGTCTTCGTGACAGTTTTAATAGAGAAAATGCAAAAAACAAGGACGTTGCGAGTGGTTCGGCAGCAACAAGCAGTAAACAGTAAATTTATTTCAATCATCTATCTTTCTTGAATTCCTTGAAAGAAGTGAGACCGCCTACCGATGTTAATATTGCAATTAATGATGCGGAAACACCTCGCCCGAAAATAAACGGAAACATTAATATAAAAAGGGCCGAAAAATCAGAAAATGAAATTCTCAGAACACTTTCGGAAAATTTAAAACATAACATGATCAAATAAGCGACCAAAATGACCCCGATAAGCAATTTCTGATGTCGCTGCTTCCACATGTAAAAAAATTGACGAAAATTGTAAACTTGATTTTCAATCAGAAATATTACAGTTAATTAGAAAGTACACGCATAATCAAAATTATGAAACCTATTCGGCACAATATTATGGTTATTCTTCAGGAAAGGCCTTCTCCACTTCATTCACATTATTCCGACAAGTCTATGCTTGACATGTCATACTCTACACAAAACGCTTCTACATCTATCCCGTCTTCACCTATCATTCAGCCTTCTCCAACTCATACATATTATTCTGACCAGTCTATGGACAACAGTTCTGTTATCGAAGACATGTTCCGTGATGATGACGAGTGATACCAAATTATCTAGCTATTCTCTAGTAGAATAAAAAATGCATAGTGATTATAAATAAAGTATAGATTATTTTACTATAGTGTTCTGTGGAGTTTTATGCTAGTGATTATTTCCACTTACCTTAATGTGATAGCTAGTCTCTCCGCAGGTGCGATGCTTTTCCGCATGTTGGTGTCGTGGTGCTTTAATCCAGCATATAATAGAGCATGTAGTTCCCAAAACGTACCTATACTTAAACGAAAATGTTTGAAAAACTTTTTAGGAAGTTTTAGAGGATTATCGAAATGTTCGTTGCATTTGTGTACATTCGTTAAAATTGGATGTATCCAATATTTACGGTTTCGTCTTCTACGACGACGTCTTTTTATCAAAAGTAGCGCAATTAAACCTTCGTCAGAGTCCATTATGATACCTGCACGCAAGGGTTAAAAAAAGTAGCAGCCACCGACCGCAAGTGTCGACCACCGGCCACAAGTAGCTGTCGCGCGCCTTAGCTACCTTTGTAGCCGCTTCTAGCTTCTCGTTGGTGGCGTTTGTGGCTGTCGCGTGTGGCCCGTGTGCGGCGACCCTAACTCAATACCTGAATGCTCCACCGCCATTATCATTGGTTCAAATTTTTCTGGTAATCCTGCTAACAACAGAGACCCGATCCACTCGTCACTAATTTTGTATCCTGTGTTATTCAATCGCTGGCTTGTTTCTAATAATGAAGTCACATATTGTGCAATAGAATCACAATTTTCACGACCAGGTGAGGTAGTGGGGCAATCGCCAGTCGCCATTATCGACTGCCCTGAGAGTTTCCCGACTTGAAGTCACACGGTCGCACACATTTGTGAGCTCCTTCTGCGAACTTGCTATGAATATATATATTCATTATTCATAGCTATATTTAATATATATATACTGCTCAAAACAATTAGCGGAACAAGATTTTTCTCCTTTCTATTGCTTAAACTAAAATTAGATTTAAATTAACTTGTACGCTATTTTTTACCTTGTTAATTTGTTAATTACTACAATTAATATAAAAATTCAATTTTTATTTTTTTTATTAAAAAAAAATTAAAATGTGCATTGTAGACGAAAAACTAATTGGCGATAAAAAAGGTCCATCAAAGAAATATTCGTCTTTAGTGACTTTCAGTAACGTGTGTGGCCTCCATGAGCCCTAATCACGGCTTGACAACGACGCGGCATGCTTCGTATGATCCTCCGAATATCTTCTTGTGGAATTCGCTCCCATTCTTCAATCAACGCTTCAGTGTTTGAGGTGCAATCGGACGCTTCCGGATGCGCCTGTCAAGCAAGTCCCAAATGTGTTCAATTGGATTTAGGTCAGGGCTCAAGGCCACTCCATTACACGGATTTCCTGCTGTCGTAAGTAATCTGACGTGATGGCTGCAGTATGCGGCCTGGCATTATCTTGCATTAAAAGAAAATCTGGGCCCATACCATATGCTGCGGGCCAAACATGATCTTCGAGCACATTTTCAATGTAAGTTTGAGCACACAAGCGCCCGGGAACAACGACGAGATCTGTGCGCTCGTCCAAACTCACTCCGCCCCAAACCATCACAGAGCCACATCCAAATTTGTCATATTCCTGGACTGCTGCTGCACTGTATCGCTCGCCTGGGCGTCTGTAAACACGGAGACGACCATCGCAACGTGTTAGACGGAATCGTGATTCGTCAGTAAAAAGCACTGGCCTCCAATGTCGAAGTTGCCAATTAGCGTGATTTTGCGCGAACTGTCGGCGAGCTTGTCTATGTTGAATTGTTAGACGCACAGCCCGAACTGGTCGGCGTGATCTCAAATTGGCTTCCAACAACCTATTTCTTACCGTCTGGTCGGAAATTTCTACACCAGTAGCCGTCCTTAGTGTATTTTGTAGATCTCTTGCAGTTGTGGTGCGGTTACGTAAAGCACAGTTGACGATGTAGCGATCTTGCAAACGTGTAGATTTTCTCTTTCGACCTTGACCACGCCTTCGTGAGTATTCTCCCGTCTCACGGTATCGCTTCCAAAGTCTGTAGATAACAGAAGGGGCTACTCCTAGATCATTTCCTCCATAACGCATAGTTCGACCCTCTTCAAGCAAAGCGATAGCTCGGGAGACATGCAATTCAGTCAGATCTGGCATTATGACCTAAACTCACTCGCTTCAATGAATAACAATCTCACTTCAATTTCTATTAATACTCAAAAGATTGAAAAAAACTACTTAAAATGTGTTTTCTGTGATTAGAAAGTAATGAAAATTCAAAGACGTCACTTTGTTTTTAGGTGTTTCTAGACACACTTCCACTTTATTATAGGACTACTAACGAAAACGCCAATGCTCTTTTGTTTTTTATTTTCTTCGACAATGCCTTAACATTATCTAATGGCCAGTAATAATTAAAACCTTAAGTAAAAAGTTTAGTTCTACTTTAAAGTTTTGTTCCCGTAATTGTTTTGAGCAGTATATATTTAGAACATAAGTTTAACAATTACTTATAAATGACTTGACTTCTTATTATGACATTTGCATGCCTATTTAAATATGGCTGATTGTGCGGATTTTTCTTGTTGTTCGATTTTTTATTTTGTACCACTATCTTGGCAAATAAAGGATTTACATTTACATTTACCAGCACACAGGAAACTTCCGGAAACTTGATAAAGATCGCTCTCTTGATTTCTGCCGACTGTTTTTTGAAGACCGAAATTGAACTCTTCTGTTGCGCAAGGACAGATTCTTCACTTGCTGACGAAGCTCTGCTATTTCCTTAGTCGACTCATTGACTAGTGTAACGCCTTGTTGAACCGCAGAAACACTCGGTGCTGTAGACGCAAGGTCACCCACTCTATCAGCTAAGTCAGCTAAATCGTCTAGCGGTGCTGACAACGGTTGGCCTGCGAGCACCGTCTGTACACCATGTGGAAGACGGCTTATCCAAATAGTTTTTAAGAAATCATCAAGTACGCCAGCGCCCGCCAAACTTCGTAAATGAGGAAGAAATTGTGAGGGTTTTCTCTCACCCAACTCCTTATGCATCAATAACTGCTTTATTTTCTTCTCCCGGGATGCGCTGAGTCGCTTTTTTCGGAAATGGGTGGGTTGATAATTATGTCTTTTACTTCTCGAGAATACTCATTGTCTAAGTGACCGATGACATAATTGAATTTAGTCGAATCATTAGTTATTCCGGATATTGAAAATTGACCCTCAATTTGGGCAAACCAAATTTCGGGTTCCTTTGGCCAAAACGGGGGAAAACACACGCCAACTTAAAAAACTTCGACATTCGATGGCACAGCACTAGTGGATCAACAGTGCTGTGATGGCACAGCACTGTTGATCGACATGGCGTTCACCTTAAAAATTTCTCAAGGTCAAGTTGTTTTGTACTGAAGTCCAAATGGTCGTTGACCATATGATATTATATTATACTGTTCACTTATCACTTTTTTACACTGTACACTGTAATAGTTTATTCACTTCAGTAATACGGGGTAATACTGTTCAAACGAATGTTCAAGAATCCAGAACGGAATCGCCAAAACGTTTATCGGGGTCACCAGTATGGAGTAAATAAATTAACCACCATTTTAAAGTGAATTAATTTAATTTAATGTTTGGTTACAATTCACTTAATATAATATAAAGAAATAAACATATGTGCGTCAAATACCAAGCCACCAAGCGCACTGGCCACGTACCACCGGTTACCTGCGTACACGCACACATTCGCGCGAATCCCGCAAGACCAGTTTTATGTAGTTCTGTGCGAGTGACGATATTATGATATCGATGTAAAATGTCGATAAAAATATGATACATGTGTATGCTACAGGGCAATATTAGACAAAACTTGTCTTTTTGTTACAGGAAATTTTATTTCTGGTAAAACAACAACATATTCAAAATTATCGATTCCACTGGTCTCCAAGTAAAGAGCCTTTATCATGTTATCTGTTTTAATTGGCAAAGATGTCTCCTCTTTATTGTTTTGCTTTCCAATGTAATGCAATAACTCCTTATTATTGCTTGTCCATTTTTGCAATTGAAAGCCATCAGATGTCATTAAAGCATTCATTCATAGTATATTTCTTTAGCTTCATCAATTGTCTCAGTTCCTGTCATCAAATCATCAACGTAAAAATCAGTATGTATTTGTAATAGACGCTGCCACTGGAAACTTCCTCTTCTCTTCATCTGCCAATCGTTCTAAAGTCCGATCGACCATCCCGCGGTGGGTTTATAGCCGACCCTGACCCCAGTGAGAAGTCGGGGCTCACGTTATAATTCTCATTATTAGTTGTGCCAGCGATTAAGTCTAATGCTTGCTCAATAGAAGCAAGGGGTCTAGCCAAATGCCTGTCATCTCTACAAAATATGATGGCGAAACAGCTATTTGTCTTTTTAAGAAAGCAGGTAGGTAATAATATATCTACCCTTTGTGAAAAAAACTTTTTACTATACCTATTGGTATCTATGACACAAAATTTATCATTATACATTGCCAATGTATGCCTCCCTTGATAGGAGAGCTCGTCCGACCGTTGACGGCAAGGTGAGTTGTTGCCGATTGGTATAGACGAGCTATGTAGTCGCAGAAGGGCCCGGGCAGCCTCCTTTACCTCAGCAGATCGACCAGTGCCACATATGACACTGTCTAACGCCTTTAAAAAATCCAGGACAGCCACGTGGCACTTGCTCAACTTCTTCCTGCAATCCCCAAGTACGGCTTCTAATACGGCTGCGTTTTCAAGAGTGCCATCTGCATAAATGAATCCTTGCTGCCGCACATCGGGAGAACAGCATGCAAACAATCTCCGCGCCAAGAGCGCGTGTAAGGTGCCAAAGCAGTATCGAAACGATCTGTTATATAGGTTCTTAAAATAATCTTTTTAAAAACAAAATGATTTTATTTAGTAATAGAATACAGAGATGTAACCTCAATGGATACCGAATAGAGACTAACCCTGCTCCCGCTCGCTATGCTTATATGCTTTCCTCTTGATTACTTAGCATATTAGATAATCAAGAGGTTAGCCATTACTCCTACATATTAAGGGTATAACAACCCCTCGCTTAAAACCGAAATTCAGGGATATAACTGAATTTTTGGAGAGTATTCAAACTAAGATAGATGTCTAAGAGGAGCAGGGCTTACATTCATTTCCACATCTTCAGATTCAGTGGTTTTGTGGAGTTTAACATTTTTCTTTAACTTAATACAATAAACTAACTTATAAGCTAGTACTATAATAAAAATCATAAAAATAATAATTACAGACACTGTGTAATGAGTTTGGAATTTTACAATAAAAGGTTCCTTATTAATTAAATTGTCTAGTTCTTTCATTTCACTTTCACTGTTAAGTTTTAGTTTATTTAAATCTATGACCTTCGGCGTCTTATAGTCAGAACTGAGTTCACTTTTAATTTCGGGAATCATATTACAGCAAGAATCGTTTGTCAACGTGAAATCCAGTATAGGTGTGGTAATATTAACCTTGAAGTTTTTGTAAGCTTTTATCTTCATTGTTCTTGTGAATACAGTGCAATGTTTAGGTATCCTAAGTATACCTGTACCAAATACTGTGGTTTCAGATAGGCCATTTGCACCACAATCTATAGAGATCTTATTTCGATGTGATTGGATAAACACCCATCTGTTATTTGTGAGAGGTTCCCATGCATCAAGTGGTCCAATGTGGGTTTTCGTTATGCATTGCTGTGGTAGTGAACTATGAGGGTTTTTCAACAGTTCTGTTTCACACGTAGGGTTGCCACTGGTCGAAAGGATTGCCCGAGTTTCGCAGATATAGAGCTCAGAGTTTACAAGGCTACATTTTCTTAAATTATCAAAAATACAATAATCATTCTTATCATTAGAAATAGCAATATATGGATTATTTGGTAGAATAAAACTAAACGAATTCGGGTCATTCATATTGTGTGGAATTGGTATAGCTAAGGTTTTGTATAACACATATGTTTCTCTAGTTACTAAAGGGATTTGTAATATGAATACTAATTTATGATTATAATAATAACAGGCTACACTAGAAATACTTAAAATTAAATGAATATTACTTAAATCTAAGGGTACAGGAATATGTGTATCTTCCGGCAAATGTCTGATGTTGTTTACAAGTTCTTTGTAAAGTTGAGAAGGAGATAAAATATTAGGATGAAATACATTTTGACTGGCAAATAGAATATCATTAATAAGGTCTTGTACTTGGAATGACATGGTAAGTAAAGAACTTTCTAAGTTACTAATAATTGAATTTATGCTAGAGTTTATGATAAGTTTATTTGTTACATTTTCATATTTAGAAAAGAATTGGTAAATATTTTTATTTAATTTTTCTTCATTTAGTTCAAGTTGCTTTATCGTTTCTTTAAAAGAGTTTAATGTATTTGTTGTTACTAAAATATTTTCTTTAATTAATTTGGCAAGGGTTTTCTCATCTTTCTGAACGGACTCTATAGCCTGATCATATTTTATTGCATCATCTTCGTCAAGAGTTCCAAAAATATGCCGAAATGCGATACCGATAGCGCCAAACCATGCTGAGCGTTTATTACGATTAGAAATAAGATGAGATATAGAATTGAATTCACTTTTAATATCTTCAAAGCGAACCAGTAAGGAAGACAGGGTGTTCTCGCAGGGCTGATAATTAGCACGTTTGCATATCTCTTCCAGAGTGGTAAATACGCCATTTAAATTATATAGATGAGGGCCGATATAGGAAATATTAATGTAATTGATTATATCTAGTTGTCCCTTTTTTATTTTTATTTTACCCAAACCATCGAAAAGGATGCCGGAACTAGAAGGGAGTGGTTCAATAAAACCAGAGGATGTGTGCACCTCACCCATGGCGCTGAAATATAATTATATAATTTAATCGTGTTAAATATATGTTTAAAACTAAACTTAAATTAGAATAATAGAGTATTAATTATATAAACTTTTATTTATATCTTTGATTCATTGTAGAAAGGAATGTTCGTTGCTTATCGTTTGTGTTTATATTAACCGATGGAATTGTACCTGGGATAGGATGTTATCTTCTTATGCATTCGCAATTAGTTAGACATAGTTTAAGAGACGCTTATTTAATTGATGGGATTATTAAGTATAATATATTATACTATAAACTATACTTTGAGTTTTATTTAGGTATTAGCGCCGGTTTCATTTGATCGAAATGGTGTGTTACATGTTTCCTATTTATTAGAAGTGTCGCTGTATGATTATTATTAACCATTATTATTTTATAAGGTCCCTTCCAGATAGGAGACAGAGCTTTTCTTAGCCTTAAGTGATTTTTAATATAAACATAATCTCCAGGTTTATAACGCGGAGGAGGTTTGGTATGTGAATCGTAATAAGATTTTGACGTTTCTTTAGATTTTGTAATGTTTTGCAAGGCAATTTCCCTTGAGAATTTTAATTTATGTTGTAACATTTTTATATAATCCAAATAGGTAGTAGGTTCTTCTTCAAATACAGAATTTGGTATATAAGGCTTATGTCCAAATATGAGTTCGTAGGGCGTGTATTTTGTAGTTGTATGAGGAGTTATATTATATGTGAGTATAGCAGTATAAACATAAGTGGGCCAGTTGTCTTGATTATTATTAATAAAAGATTTTAAATATTCTTTTAGTGTTGAGTGGCTGCGTTCTAGCGCGCCTTGAGTTTGAGGATGGTATGGTGAAGACCAGAGTTGTTTTATTTTTAGAAATTTACAGGTACTCTTGAAAAGATCAGCTGTGAAGTTAGTACCTTGGTCTGTGAGAATGGTTTTAGGAATGCCAAAAAGTGAGATAAAATGTATTAGACAATCGCTGGTCTCTTCAGCAGTTGTGGACCACCTTATTGGATAAGCTATTGAATATTTTGTAAGATCATCTTGTATGGTTAAAATAAATTTGAGTTTTGCAGTACCTGATTCAGGAAGAGGACCGACTATGTCCAAAGCTATTCTTTGGAAAGGGGCTGTAGATGTTGTTGTTATTTCCATAGGAGCTTTGTTAATTTTCCTAAGAGCCTTATTTTCCTGACAAGATCTACACGTCTTTACATAATTTTCTATGTCGCTCCTCATTCCTTTCCAGTAATATGACTCTTTAATTCTTTTGTACATTCTGACAGATCCTAAGTGACCAGCTATAGGAATGTCATGGTTTTCATGTAAAATTTTGGATCTTTCACTTAAAGTTGGATATATTATTTTATTTCGATATACATCGACAGGGATGTTAGTATTATGGAATATGTGAATAATTATATTGTATATTTTAGTATAAGATAATTTATCAAACGGATTTCGGAAATCAGAGATAGAAATGTTTGTTGAATCAGAGGATAGTAATAAGTCGTTCCTCACTTTCTTCAAGGCATCGAATATAGAAGGATATGTCATTTCGTCGAAATGATGAACTTTCGTAAATAGTAAATAAACAATTTTATTTTCATAGTGTATTTTAAGAAAGGAATTTAGTTCTTTTTCGATATTCAAGATGTCATCTTTATTTTCTGTATTAAGGATAACCTCCGATACGTATGGATTACTTTCGTCGAGGTCTATGGATGTTGGAATAAGAATTATTTTATTTGTTGTTTTCAAGAGATGTTCGTTGTGTTCTTGTAATGTAGTATTATAAATTATGTCTTTTTTAGAATTTGATTTTAGAAACTGTGAGTAATCATCGTGGGAAATATTAGGATTATCGGAATTAGATTCATTAGGCGACGGAATTTGGAGTGAGTCGAAATCTAAATTAATATCGTCTTCTGTGATATCTAAATCGATTGGGCCTAGATCAATTAAATCTGAGTGTGGAGATGGTAGTTGATCTTGGTCTGGTGTAACACGAGGTATGGGATTAAGTAAAGGATTTTGAACAGGATTTTGCATTTGATTCAGAGGATTTTGAATTGGATTTGTTTGAAGTATATCTTGATCATTGAAAGAAAGTGGTATAGGAGATGGTAATTGAGAAAATTGATCGTCTAAAGAATTATTTGAATTTTCATCGATATTTGGTAAAAGAGAATTTGGAGATTTGGGATTAGTATGTATAGGATTTACTGGAAATCGAGATAATGCATCAGCATTTGTGTTAATTTTTCCTTTTTATGAACTATCTCGTAATCAAACTCTTCCAACTTTAGTCTCCATCGCACAAGTCTGGAACCAGGATCTTTACAATTAAAGAGCCATTGGAGGGGCTTATGGTCTGTGACTATGGTGAACCGACGACCATAGATGTAGGGCCGGAAAGTTTGAGTGCCGAATACTATTGCTAAACATTCTTTCTCGGTTACACTATAATTGCATTCCGCCTTGTTTAAGGTGCGTGAAGAATAAGCTATTGGCCTGTCTTTGCCTACGGGACCTTGGGATAGAATGGCGGATATGGCATAATTAGACGCGTCGCAGGTGAGAATAAAAGGCTGAGTAAAATCGGGATATGCTAGTATGGGAGGAGAGATGAGTTTACTCTTCAGGATTTCAAAAGCTTGCTGTTGTTCAAATTTCCATTCGAATTCAGTGTCTTTCTTTAATAATTTTGTTAACAATTTTGCAGTCTTGGAAAAATCAGGAATGAACCGTCTATAATAAGACACAAGCCCTAAAAATGACTTAATGTCTTTGGCACATTTGGGAATTGGAAATTTTTGTACAGCTTCGATTTTCTTTGGATCAGGTTTCACACCATGTTCGGTAATAATATGGCCTAGATACCCCACTTCCTTTCGTAGGAATTCGCATTTATCGGCTTGTAGTTTTAGGTTATGGCTTCGAAGTTTTTGAAATACGGACTTAAGATTTTTAATATGAGACTTTAAATCATATGAATACACTACTATGTCGTCTAAATATACAAAACAACGTTCACCTTGAAGACCAGCTAGCACGTTGTTCATTAGTCTCTGAAAGGTCGCTGGTGCATTTTTAAGGCCAAATGGCATACGAGTAAATTCATAATGACCTTGAGGTACACTAAATGCCGTCTTATTAGTGTCCTGTGATTTTACTTTTATCTGATGGAAACCCGAGCTTAAGTCTAAAGTTGTAAAATATTTGGATTTACCTAATTGATCAAGGATTTCAGTGATGTTTGGTATCGGATAAGTATCGCCTATAGTGATGTCATTTAATTTACGATAATCAATCACAATCCTCCATTTTTGGGTTCCAGAAGCATCTATTTTCTTAGGTACCACCCATATAGGTGCAGACCACGGAGATGAAGACGGCTTAATTATGCCTTGATGTAGCATTTTTTCGACTTGTGTTTGTACTTCCTTTTTGTGTGCCTCTGGGAAACGATACGTTTTTACACTTATAGGATTATTTGTGTCGGTATTTATTTCATGTTGTAGAGTGTCGGTTGCTGTCAATGATTCGTTTGAGAAATGGAATATATCACTGTATTGGGCACAAATATCAAAGAGGGACTTGGATTCTTCTTCATTTAAATGAGCTGTGCGTAATGATTCAATTACTCTTCTCGAGCGGTCAATAGCAGATTCAGAGAAATGATGTTCAAGATTGGATGTTGGATGATATTCAATTGGATGCAGAGTGATTAACATATTTGGATTTAGTGATATTGGGTTTTCTGACACATTAACAATGGATACGTTTACTCTATTATTCTCTTTGACTTTCACGATACAATTTGCGAGTAATAATTTGTCCGAAACGTATTCATCTAATATAAGGCCTTCTTTAATTTCGGGATTTACGACGGAACATTCTACAATAGTCTCAGATCGAGGAGGTATTTCATAAGTAGGTTCGTTAAAGTGGAGTTTGATTTTATTGCCATCCGGTCCTTCTAAGTGTCCTGTTTTATAATTAATTTTCATGTCAAAAGTTGTAAAGAAGTCATTGCCTAGTATGCCGTCATATTGAAGACATATTTCCTCAACAATATGAAACTCGTAAGAAATAGTAAGTTTATCTACCTGAAACTTGAGATTTGTAGTACCGAGACTACGGATTGGTTCGTCTTTAATATCTACTCCTTTAATAGTAACTATGTTATTTTTATTTATTGTTTGAATCTGAGATAGGCACGAGCGCTTAAGTAAACATATAGAGGATCCAGTGTCTACTAAGAGATTTACAGGTTGATAGGATTTAGAGGTTCGTAATACAACACAAGGTAAATATCTTTTAGAATTCGTATTAATTTTATATATTTTTTCAGGAAGATCATTTGATAATAGTGAAACAGTGGGCATAGTGCTCATTATAGGTTTAGAAATGGTTGACGTAGTTGATACAGTAAATGCGAGAGTTTTGGGAACTGTGGATAAAGAGGATACAGTGGACACAGTGAGTTCAACGGATGTAGAGGAAACAGAGGATACAGAGGATTCAGTGGATCTAGAGGTTGTAGTGTTTCTACCTAATGTAGAGGATACAGAGGATATAGAGGATGCATTGGGTACAGTGGATACAGAGGATGCAGTGTTTTTACATAATGTAGAGGATACAGAGGATGCAGTGGATACAGTGGATACAGAGGATGCAGTGTTTCTACATAATGTAGAAGATACAGAGGATGCAGTGGATACAGTGGATACAGAGGATGCAGAGGATATAGCATTTCTTCGCGATACAGAGGGTTCAGTGAATACGGTCTTACTATATGATGCAGAGGATACGGCGGATGTACTGTTATTGTATGATGCAGAGGATACAGCGGATATGATGTTTCTATATGATGCAGAGGATACAGTGTTTTTACGTGATGCAGAGGATTCAGTGGATACGGTGTTTTTATGTGATGCAGTGGATACGGCGGATGTAGCTTTTTTATATGATGCAGAGGATACAGTGTTTTTACGTGATACAGAGGATTCAGTGGATGTAGTGTTATTACATGATGCAGAGGAAACAGTGTTTTTATATGATGCAGCGGGTACAGCGTTTCTGTGTGGTACAGAGGATTCAGTGGATACAGCGTTAATAAATTTGGTATCGGCTTTGAAATTATTATTTTTATTTCCCGGGCGATACCATTCGGGAAACCGATTTAGTTTAAATTACCTTGGGAGGTATATTCGTCACTATTATCCTGGTAATTAAAATGTGTGTCAATATGTTGTGTGCGATTCTGAGTAAAGTTTTGATTGCGATTTTGATTAGAGTTAGGATTACGATTAGGGTTTCGGCTGTTATTATATTGTCTTTTACGGCAATTTTCTATACTATGACCCATGTTTTTGCAATATCTACAAGTTATCACATTTGCAGTATTATTTGAGGAAAAGTTTGGTCTCGAGAAACGATTAGGTGTTGAATTAGGACGTGGTATGTTGTTATGTTTTTTATTTGTCATCCCCAATATCTTTTCTTCTGCTATCGCGAAAGCAATTGCTTCCGAAAGCGTTGATGGGTCCTTGCATCTCACTATTGTGGAGAGTTGTGGCTGAAGGCCGGTTGTGAAAATGTTTAATGCTAAATCTTGCATTGCTGCTACGCGACCTACGAGTTCATCCTTTTTTTCGTGGGTATTGATATGTTTATTTCAGCCAATAGTTTTGAAAGGCATGACTCCACCTTCAGGGAGTATTGGCTGATAGTTTCATTCGTGGACTGTTTACAGTCTTGTAAGTCTGCCAAAAGATATGCATAATGCTTCTTATCGCCGAACTGGGCTTTTAAAAAATCCTCAAGTTGAGGCCATTTATTAAAATCTCTAATTGAACACGCTGATTCTGCCTTTCCCTCTAGCCTACTCAGAATATATTTTAAAAGGACATCGGTTTGCGATGGTGTGGCCATACTCATCGCATTTTGACAATTTGCTAAGAATGGGCCTAACTTTTCTCGTGACCCATCGAATGTAGTAATGAACTTGAGTAATATGTTTAAGTCGATTTCTGACATTTTGCTGGAACTACTGTCTTCGGTTTTTAAGTTTTTAGACATATATTTTTTTTACACAAAATAAGATATAGAAAATGAACGAGTCACAAATGAAAAGAATACACTGTCTCTTAGACTACCTAACTCTGAGCTCTGATAAGTGTTTGGGACTTACAGCGCAACGATGATTGCCGTAACCTTGAAGAGCATAACTTCACTGGAAATATATAACACTTTACACTTGAAACACACACGGAACTTCGGAGTCGTATTCGGGTAGGGGATTTTCGTATCCCACCGCTGCCACCATTTAATGTTATATAGGTTCTTAAAATAATCTTTTTAAAAACAAAATGATTTTATTTAGTAATAGAATACAGAAATGTAACCTCAATGGATACCGAATAGAGACTAACCCTGCTCCCGCTCGCTATGCTTATATGCTTTCCTCTTGATTACTTAGCATATTAGATAATCAAGAGGTTAGCCATTACTCCTACATATTAAGGGTATAACAGATCGAAACCGGCCTATACTAACTCGGACCGCAGTCACCTCTTTTTTCGGCACGACAATCGTCCGACACTGCCGTAGAAGTTCGAGGACCTCGCCCTGACGCATCCAAACGTTGAAGAGAGCCGCCTTCATCGTATCAGGAAATTTGCGCCAGTCTTCCGGCTATACGCCTTCGGGGACCCGGCGCAGACTTCAGATCAACCTTTGCCTGCTTCACCTCAGATGTGGTGTCAAAGAGCAGCCCACATTGCCTCCGTATTGCTAACTAGATCGCAAGCGATCCAAGGCTTCCGGTGTAGGCCCACATGCGCTCGACACCCTCTCCAGTAGTGGTCGCCAGTTCCGTTTCCTCCAGCTGGTGCTTTAAGTCTCTGCATGCGCCATCGATTACCAACCCGACTAGGATTTTTTCAGAGTTCCTGAACTCAAGCGTACTCCATTCTTCGCCTCTTTCGCCTATTAGGCGGTTGCAAGCCGTTCAAATGGTCGGTGTACTGCCGTTCCTCGTACTCACGCCTCGTATTGTCTCTTCCTCACTCTTTCGAGTAAGTCTTCGAATGCATTCGTTGCACACGCTTCGTCATCAGGGTTTTCCGTTATGTCAAGCGGATCATCCACGCGAGATGGTTGAGTGCTCGACCGCTCTACATTTGAGGACTCGAGTTCAACTGAAGTTGCTGTTCCTATACATTTCGTGTTTGGTCTGCGCTTACTAGTGATGGAATTGGATGTTCATTATTATGGGACCTTTGATTGCTTCCAGTGTTGGTAGCTATGGAAGAGCATTCAACAGCGCATTTGAAGCGGCCACCACATTTGCCTCAAGGGAATTAGCGGCACGTTTTTAAATTATGTCCAATGCCGTAGCATCTTCCGGTAATGTCTGAATTGGAACTTTAGTTATCAATGGCCTATGATAACTAAAGTATGATATGAAAATTGTTGTATTAACGGCGTTAAGATATCGTGAAAATACAGCAGGTAGTACCATGTCGTGTTGTCGAAATCAGAGGATTATTATTATTCATGGCTAGATTCAAGTCATTTGTGAGGAAGATGATATGATTATTTTATATCATCTTCCTCATCCGATTATAGGTCCGTTTCACTTTCAAGAATTATATCTTCAACTTCACTGGTCTCACTGTCTCTATCTGCTATAACTATGTTTTTATTGTTTTTCTTATATGGTGTCTTTCTGATTTTACTTGTTGATGAAAGCATTTTATTTCCACAGTCTTGTAGAACTTTTCTTTTATGCTGACCTTTTCTATTTAATGCAGCAGTACGTTCCTCAGCTATTATTTCCTTTTCTGGAGTGCCCGTTGCAAAAGCATGAGCTTTTACCCAATTTTATACCTTTCCGTTTGTTGGAACGAGGACCAGCCTTTAGCAGAGGACGGAACATTAGTGGAGTGATGATATGCTCTTTTGTTTGATGAATTTCATCTTAGCATTCTTAATCTGGTTGATTTGTAGGTGTCACGTTTTGGTAGTAACTGTGATGTTCTTCTGATAATATAGATGGATTTTCTCGATAAGGGGTAATAGAATAGCGTGATAAAAACTTGAACGACGTGTCTATATATAAGTCGAATGGGGTTGCTGATTATTTTTGTCTGGATTTGCAGAAGTTTCAGCATCAGGGAATTTTTGTGACACTACGGGGCGATCTGTCACGCTACTTGGCATTAAATCTTCATAGGAAAATATTATGTCATTATAGGGGACAATCCCACATTTTGCTTAAGCTGACGATATATTTAGTGGAGTAATAGATCTGAGATAAGCATGACCAATAAATCTTGCTACACGCAAACGCGCACATTGATGGATTGAGAAGTTGCTCAAAAGTTTCTATGGCGGGGTGAAAATCGAGATAAGCCCCCAAAAGAATACGTTATGACTTCATTAATATTTGGCGCTAAGAGCTCGCCGTTTCTAGCACACATCGTAAGGGATTACAACGCTTCGTGCTACCGTACTACACATCCGAACGCTTATAATGCTATAACAAACTGCTATAGCATGAGCTTCCCAGACGAAATCGACACCTTGAAGCAGGGAAAGCCAATCAAGAAAACAAGTCGTTTGGCTAAATACGACCCTTTTCTGGATGAATATGGGTTACTGCCTGTACTTGGGCGGTTCCAAACACAGATAGCAGAGGAGACGAGAAATCCCATTCTATTAGATGGGCGTCATACGTTTACAAAGTTGATCGTTATGAAAGAGCATAGAAGGGCGCTGCACACTAACAACGAACGCGTCGTGAATGATCTTCGACAGAAATATTGTATACTGCGACTACGTCCTACGGTGCGTATCATCGCCCATAGCTGCACATTGTGTGTGCTTCGAAAAAAGGCGCCAACAAAACCTAATTTTGGCTTACTACATGTACTGGCCGCAAATTATATATTCTGATAACGCGACCAACTTCAAAGGCGCAGACTTAGAACTGAGGAAAGCGATGGAAAAATGTACTCCAGAGATCGAGAATTTATGTCTAGTTCAACGGACAGAATGGCGATATATTGCTCCAGGAGTCCCGCATCAAGGCGGTGCATGGGAACGCTTAATAAGAACAATAAAAGACGCCATTAGATTCGTCTTGACAGAGAAGTAACCTAAGGAGGATACTTTCAGCACGTTTATGACTGAAATAGAGTGCAGTGTGAACGCAAGGCCACTAACGCACGTTCCAGTAAATCCGGACGACCCAGAGGCTTTAACTCCAAACCATTTTCTGCTTCGAGCTCCAGACGCAATGCCTATATTAGGCACCTAACCGCACGTTACTAAGAGAACGTGGAAGACGGCGCAAGAATTTTGGCGAAGATGGATTAAGGAATATCTTCCAACTATAAACGCCAGGGGACACACGCCCAGAATGAAAAGCCCTGTAAAGATCGGCGATGTGGTCATCATTATGGATCCCTTGCTGCCGCGCAATGTGTGGCCACGGGGAATTGTTACGAAAACGCATAGAGGGCCTGATGGAGAAACCCGATCGGTAGAAGTGGAAACGAAACTTCATAAGCTGAGACGACCGGTGACGCGCATCGTTGTCCTACCTACGGAAAGCTTCACGGCATATGAAGGTTTCGCTGAGGGGAGAATGTTACGGACAACGAACAATGCAGTTAGAAAGCAGACGAACGAAGCTGCCCGCCAGATGTTCTTGGAAACGGTCGGCGGGTGCGCAGGTAGCGGAAGGGTCGGTCGGTCCCTTTTACCAGCGTGGTAGTTTAGGCAAGATGAGTTATTGCCGATTGGTATAGACGAGACTTCACATCGACCTTTGCCTGCTTCACCTCAGATGTGGTGTCAAAGAGCAGAGCACATTGCCCCCGTATTGCTCACTAGATCGCAAGCGATCCAAGGCTTCCGGTGTTGGCCCACATACGCTCGACACCCTCTCGAGTAGTGGTCGCCAGTTCCATTACCTCCAGCTGGTGCTTCACGTCCCTGCATGCGCCATCGATCACCTCCTCAGCAACCCGACTAGGGTTTTTCTTCCAGAGTTCCTGAACTCGAGCGTACTCCATTCTTCGCCTCTTTCGCCTATTAGGCGGTTGCGAACCGTTCGAATGGTCGGTGTACTGTTATTCCTCGTACTCACCCCTCGTATAACGGCCCCGATATGCATCTCTCTTCCTCACTCTTTCGAGTAAGTCTTCGAATGCATTCGTTTCACGCGCTTCGTCATCAGCGTTTTCCGTTATGTCAAGCGGATCATCCACGAGACATGGTTGAGTGCTCAACCGCTCAACACTATCTTTGACTCGGGTTCGACTGACTGAAGTTGCTGTTCTGTATCATTTAGTATTTGGTCTGCGCTTACTGGTGATGGGATTGGATATTCAATATTATGGGCGTTCTGAAGATATGCTTGCACCATAGCTTTGTACTCATTTTTGCGCCTTTGCCCTTTGATTGCTTCCAGTGTTCTACCAAGCTCTGGAAGGGCATTAAACAGCTCAACATTCCCACACCGACCCAGCTCTAGTCAGCCTTGCCTCGGACCTTGCCATGAGAGCGATCTCTTCCTCCCGCCATCTGCGCTTCACCGCATTTGGAGCGGCCTCCACGTTCGCCTCAAGGGGATTCTCGGCACGTTTGTGCACGCCTAAACAACCGACTCCGACCCCAGTGAGAAGTCGGGGCTCACGTTATAATTTTCCTCATTATTTGTGCCAGCGATTAAGTTCAAACCCCAGGCGCGGACTGCTAATCCAACGCCCCAGGTACGCCCGGTAATTTTCGTTACACCCCAATCCTTAGATAACTACCGGACTTGAGTGCTCGCCTAAAGATGGAAGGTCTGCAGCTCCATTAGGGGTAACACTGGGAATTTCGCCCAATGTCAACACCTGGATTAACGTCAAGGTGTCAGACATGCATCCTAGGGAAATCCAGGGACAAACCTACAAAAAGGCAGAAAGGGGTAATGATGAAATTGCCGGAAAGTATAATGTAAAATATTTCGCCGATTAGTTATAATAAATGTATATGAAAAAAAAATGAAAATTTTTATTTGTATCTCAAAATTCAGCCCCCGTAAGTAGTCAGAGACACTTGTGTTGGGGTTGGCTCGCTACTTCCCTTATTTATACAATATTGAGACAGTTCTTAGAAAAGAATACAAAACAAAACAAAACCCAGCTAAGAAGCAAAGCCGGTAAAAAATGAAATAAAATGAAATGTAATTCTCATAGTTTCTCTGACGATTCTATGAGCTTATTTTATGCATGCGTGGTTGTGTGTGTATGTGCGCATGTGTGTGTGTGTGTGAGTGAGTGTATACTTGTTGTTAAGTATATAATTATGTATGTGTGTGTCAAACTAGCGAACTCGTAAATGTGCTCAGTTTCCTCATAAGTTAAAGTTTTAGCCAATCTGTTATAACTTCCTTTAGCGTTTATTTTGTTGTAAATATATGCAGACTGAGTCACGTACTAACGGCTTGCAAAATTCGAACGAACCGTTGCGGAGCAGGCCACAATATCACTCCTTCTATCCAGACTGGCAGAATTAAATGGAATAGATTTATGTAGATATAAGGTCACATTTAGCAGGTATAATTTTCTTACCGATAACAATCCACTTGTTCTGTATAAGTTAACTGTGGGGTATCTATATGGTTTAAAGTACATCACTTTTATTAGAGACCGCTGGGCTCTTTCCAGCTCAAGAAATTTAGTTTTTACCGCCCCAGACTGGTATGCAGTATGTAATCACTGATTGAGCTAATGCAACATAAACATATTGAAATCAAAATCATTTACCTAATAAATTTATTAGCCAAAAAGCTTCGCTAGCAGCCATACTCAATGCAATGTATTCCGACTCGGTCGAAGGCAAACTTACAGATGCTTGTTTCTTGAGGACCACAGTACCAGACAGTTTGAGAGCATAAACATATAGCCCGAGGTGGACTTTCTGTCCTGGAGGTCACCGCCCCAATCAGCATCGCAATAGCCCTCCAGAACTATATCTTTACAGTTGTAAGTTAATTTATAGTCTAGAGTACATTTGACATAACGAAACACTCTCTTTAATGCAGCTAGTAATGCATTATTTGCACATTTCTGGAATCTACTCAACATGGACACTGCGAAACACAAATCAGGACTAGTGCCCGACACAGCATACATCAGGAAACCTACCATGTCTACCTAAGTAGAAGCTATCTTCTCAGTATTTTTATCTACAATTTCTATCTAATATTTTTGCATTAAAATTGGGGTCCATAGGGGTCATCATGCCTTTACAGTTCAAACTTTAACATGTTAAATCTTTCAAGAACATTTTTCAAATAATCTCTTTCAGTTAGTTCGGTAATACCAGTTTCCAAACTTTGACTTACATTTATTCCCAGAAAATCAGAAACCAGTCCCAAATCCTTCATGTCAAATTCCTTATTAAGTACACTTTTGAGCTGTATAATTCGCCAGCTCCGGAGCATAAAATGATAAATGCAAAATCACAACTTTACAGGAAAATTAAAGAACCGTTTTAATAAGATTACTTCTTTTGGGTCCTAGGTAGGAACTTGGGAGTTAGCTTAAATGATAGCGAATTTTTAGTGTTATCTCTATACTTAGTTAAAATTTTAAAAGATTCCACTGAACTTGAGATATTTAGGAAATAAAACATTAGACTAAATTTAACAATAACATGTGTTGCTAACATGCACTTATCATTTTTTTCTTATCTAAACTTTATTCATACGAATATTGTCATATATAGTCCTGTCATGATATTCTACGATATACGAACTCTCCAGCAATGTCGGTAATGTAATATTATCATCTTATTCTCGTTATTATTCACATAATGAATTTACGATATGAGTAAATTAGACGTTTTTTCTGGGTATTTAAATTAACCTACTTAATTATACTCAACTGTTATTGATTTTGGGACCAACAAAGATGATGACAAAAATAATACTCTTCAAGAAAACAAAACACCAGCAAACAAACATAACATACAGTCACTCTCAAATAAATCAAAAAAAAAAATATAAGCGAAATCTAAGTAATTTCTATCCAAAAGTATATTATAATAAAAAAAAAGTCTTGTCTTTTTAATAAAAAAAAGAATTGTCTTCATCAGCACAGTTATCAATTGCTGCTTCTGCCTCATCATTAAATTTAAGAGATTCATAGAAACCATGACAGTAGCTTGGTATGTCATTTGATTTACATTTGACTTGTGAGATCAGAATGTAGGGCTTTACGTATTGGCAGAGTCTCGGTGAATACAATTTTTAATTCAGGACTGTCATTAATATTGGGTGTATTGGAAGCATGTCTAGCACCCCGTTTGGATCTCTGTTGGCGTTCAACGTTGAGCTTAGAATACTCAGCGTCAAAATCATATTTAAACCGCAAGATGAATGCTTCTGAACTGGTTACATTGATTTCCATTATTTTAGTCCACTTTATTTTATTTTATTTTATTTTACAATTTTAGGGAAACTTACAGCTAAAAAGGTTCAATAGTATACAATTAACATGATGACGGCCAATTATCAGTTTCCACACTTACACATTATCATTTATCACATCATTACACACCAACGCTCAAAAAACTCTCAAGGCTATATTAAAACTAAATCTCAAAGTATCGGTCACAAAGGGCTTTCTTCGTTGCAGTAACACTTGTGCAGAACAAGTCCAAATTAAGCTCCAGACATGCCACATTAAAAGAACGACATGCTCGCAATAGGTAAGAATTTTTTCTGTATGTAGTTCGTGCTATGGGGACGTACAATAAGCTTGGTCCGCGCAGAAACAATGATGGTGCGTACAGGCCCACCCTAGATAACAGTTCTGGCAACTCAGCCGCACCATTAAGTAAAGACACTAGGAACGTAATGTCCGATATTTTTCTACGCTCAGCTAAAGGCAAAATATGAAACTTTTTGCAGCGTGTATGATAGTCAGGCAGGTAACAATTAGATTTAAATTGAATGTACCTTAAAAATTTTCTTTGCATACTTTCAAGGCGGTCTATATAAATGTTGTATATTGGGTTCCATACCTGTGAGGCATATTCGAGGTGACTACGAACGAAAGAGCAATATAATATTTTAATGGTTTTAATTTCCTGAAAGTCGGACGAGATTCTTATAATGAAACCTAACGCTTTCGTGGCTTTATTAATGATGCTCTCAATATGCAGATCAAAAAGAAGTTTGCTGTCAAATATAACTCCCAGATCTTTGACAGATCCAACTCTTACTAAAATAGAATCTTGAAGTTTATAGGGAAAGGCAATGGGGTGGAGTTTGCGAGTAAATGTACAAATGTAACACTTAGATACATTCAAGTCGAGCCCGTTCAGTACACAATAATTTTGAAAGCGGTCCAGATCTTCTTGTAAAGAGAGTGCATCAGCGACAGAGTTAATCTGTTTCATGATTTTCATGTCATCAGCATACAGTAGAATTTTGGACGACTGAAAACAATGTGTGATGTCGTTAACAAATATATTAAAGAGAAGTGGGCCCAAAAGCGATCCTTGTGGGACTCCTGAAGGTATATATCTAGTTCTTGACGAGTATCCATTCAACACCACAGTCTGACATCGATTCTCTACGTACGATGAGAACCATCTGAATAGATTACCCCGTATACCCATGGAAGATAACTTGCTTAAAAGTATGTTGTGGTCGATTTTGTCGAAACATTTGCTATAGTCTGTGTATATAACATCCACCTGGGATCCATTAGCCATGGAGTCTGATATAAAGTCACTACAGAGGATCAAATTTGACGTAGTCGACCGACCCTTTATAAAACCGTGTTGGTATTCACAAAAGTCCAGTTTCAGTGCTGCATATACTTGTCTGTAAACGATTTTTTCCATAATTTTAGCGAATGCACACAACTTAGATATAGGTCTGTAATTTTCAACGACGGCTTTTGATCCTTTTTTCAGGACAGGTGTTATATACGCAGACTTCCACAAAGTGGGAACTACTCCGGAAGTAAGTGATAATTGGAATAAAATTGATAGTGGTAAAGTCAGGCTATCGGCGCAATTTACTATAAACACTGGTGGAATTTTGTCAGGCCCCGGTGACTTGTTTAGATCCACATGTTTCAAGAATCTATATACTTCATCCCTATTAATTTCTATTGACCCGATATCAGTGCCGAAACAAGCAGCCCCCTCGGGTACGGTCTGTGTGTTGATTGGTGGTGAGTTGTTATTGACAGCGCTCGGTTCCAAAAAATTTGAATAAAAGTAGTCGCTGAACATGTTGGATATAACATCCCCATCCCCAGATGAATGATTTCCATACTGTAGTACAGAGGGATAGCAATTGGACTGCTTTTTTGATTTTACATAAGCCCAAAAAGCTTTAGGATTGCGCTTTATGTTTGATTCTATACCAGATATATAATTGTTAAACAACTCTTTTTCTAAATCTTTCACTCTCTGTCGTAAAACGACAAATGAATGATGATCCGAGAGGTTTTTATATTTTTTTAAACTTTAAATGATATTTAGCTTTCTCCTTAATTATTTTGATTAGAGAGCTATTATACCAGACTGGGAATTTTGACTGTATGGTTACAATTCTTGGTGGAATGTGGATGTTACGCTGGTCGTTGATAGTGTCATAGAAATACGATACAGCATCTTCAAAGGATCTACGCCTCAGTTCATAGTCCCAGTTCACGGAATCCAAATTTCGTTTTATGGCATTGTAATCGCCCTTGTTGTACAAATATTGTAAGCGAGGACGAGTGGGTAGGCTGTGCAACTGAACGAACTCGACCGAAATGCAAAGCGCTTTATGTTGGGGATCTTCGCATACCAGGGGATCAGCGCAGCAGGTAACAGAAATATCGTTATTGGATAGTACAAGATCCAAAATCCTATCGTTAATATTGTGGAAGCAATTATATTGTGAAAGATTACAGATATTCAAATTGTCTATAAAATTCCTCTGAACATCTCCCTGTATGTCACTCGGATAGAGAGAAGAGAGATCATTTGTCTGACACCACTTAATATTCGGTTGATTAAAGTCGCCAAGTATTAAAAATGCATCAGAAGGATATTTCAGAACAAGGTCAGCCAAACTATAAGAAAAATTATTCAATTGAACTGCTGATGTATTGCCCAAATTTTCGTTACAAATGTAGACAACACAGATGTGTATTTTATAAGAAATTTTAGGCTTTCTATGGTTCAATGTAAGCGTGATCCATAGGTCCTCGGCAGACGAGCGCCAGTCATGACGAACATCAGCAGGTATTTCTCTCTTAACAGCTATTAAAACCCCTCCTCCCTTCGATTGTTCGGTAGCAGCATAATTACGATCTCGTCTCCAGACAAGATACCGATTATCGAACAACTCGGAATCCGAGATACCCTCCAAAAGCCACGTTTCAGTAATACATATAATATCATAGTTATTAACACACACATTTCTGTAAAAAGTACTCGTTTTTGTTCGTAGCCCCCGAACATTTTGGTAGAAAATATTAAGCGGAGCCATTGCAAATATTCTCATAAAATACAACACAATAATAAATATGTGGGGTGCATTCTAATCGATGTGAATAAATATATTGCCCCACCAATGAAGTGCAAATAAGCACCTTACTAGTATACAAGTTAAGTAGAATAGTTAAACTGCACAAGTATGAGCAAAAATAAAATATTAAATTATTGAAATAAATGTTTGTAAGCCTTACCAAGCCAGAAGCAGTTCTAATTCTAAGGAAATAATGTCTATAATCACAAAAACTGCACAACAAAAAGTCATTAGCATTGAGCGATAAGAGAACAAAAGGCGTGCAGGTACAAGTTGAACTGCAAAAAATGCTACCTGCGGTCCTCAAACTTATTGAGCCGATCCAGTAATGTGACATGCCGGACTGTTCAAATATGATTATGTAAAAAACTTTTTTAAGTCGCGTTCCGTATTGATATGATGTTTTGGAGACGATGTGTTTTTTCGTATGAAAATTTTACACCCTTTCACCCAAACATAGTCATATCCCCGTTCTTTTGCGCTAGCCTTGGTTTTATTTAATAGGGCTTTGTTTTCCAGAGTTAGGTGATCGTTGACGTAAATCCTGCTATCGCCACGTAGTCCTAAATCCACCGCTTTAAGGGCCTTGTGATTCTTTGCAGCAGCTACAAATTCATTCTTCAAGTAACTGTTCTGGACAGAGCATATAATGTTTTTGTTATGCTTATTATTACGCGTAGGCACTCTGGCGATGTAGTTGACCTGCTCCTTTTGGATTTTACAGTTAATTGCAGTCCCCAACTTATCTAAGATGTTGAATAAGTTCTCGGCACTAGACTCGGGTACACCCTTAATTTCAATATTATTCATACGTAGACGTTGTTCGTTGTGGTTCTGCAGTTCCTCCAAGTTGTTTACACGGTCCTGCAGGGTCAACAAATCTCCTTTTGTCTTAACCAAGGAGTCAATTTCTTGCTCCAGGGTAGATACCTTCAAGGTTAGAGCCTCAACTGTATTATGAACAAACTCGATAGACGCCTTCATATCCGAGAACTCCTCTCTGATAGTCCTAAATTCCACCAGTTCAGCCTGTATCGCCCTCACGCTATCCACTAATGCTGGTATAGCCTCCATTTGTGACGACAGACGCTTAAGCTCGACAACGATGGAATCAGGATCCGACGACACTGTTGGTTTAGGACTGGCTATTCCTCGGGACTTGCAACTGGAACATTTCCAGGTGGATTTCCGCTCTCCTAGTTTCCGCCATCCACCCTCAGTTATTCCAGCGCAAGGGAAGTCAAACTGACCCGCACAGACAGAGCATGTGGCGCCGTCCCTAGCTTCAATTTCACACCGTTTGCAGGCAAACATATTAATACGAGCTTTGAGAAACACTTTAACACTTGAAAAAATTACGCAAACGAGCGGCAAGCAGTTGTGCACGTGTGGTCGGACTCGAGTCTACCGTCATACTGATCTTTATCTTCTTACCTTCATCATCTTTACCCCAGTGTTTGTCCTCGAGTAATTATTTTATGTCGTAGAAGTCGCTTTGTAACATTTCTTTAATAATGTATTTCACGCCATTTACTTTGGCATTGGTAATTATTGCGTACATTTGATCTGGAGTATACACAACTTGGTTTTTCAGCTCACGTTCTATAATAGAATGCATCGAATCGCCCTCACTCTGGCCATGACCAGTCTCAAAAAATCTGTGAGTGATATTAATATGAAGCTTTATGGCAGCAAACGTACAGAGCGAATATGAATCTGTTTTTATTCTGCCCTGCGCAACCATCAGAATAAAATGACAAGTTTTCAATGCCTCTCTGTTTTTCTGTATTAAGAAATTGCCATAAACAACTACCTATTTCTATTGCTCCTCTTTTTGCAATCTGCACATGCCAAACGTAGCAATAACCTTTGCGTTGAGTGGCGTCAAATATTGTGAAATTGTAAATAGGATACTTCCTCTTGTAGTGGAATACTCCAACAGCAGATTGAGGTATATTCAACACTTTTTCCAAATCAAATATAGCTTGCAGTTAAGCTAGTTTGCAATCGATTGCAAGATACTTTTTCTTTTTTCTTTACCTGTCGAACTCTTTCTTTATTTCGCTGATGTTGATCGTACTTTTCTTGCAAGGTTTCTTGAGTAGCGTTATCAGCTTGGCGGTAAAGAGCACTGATCCTTTTTTGGCTTATAGAAGGAATAATTAAATCTGGTATTGAAAATTGTCTGATACTGCCGTTTTGTAGCTTTAGGAAAATCAAAACTTCCTTGTGTAAACCAGGTCTGGTATAGGCGATACATTTTAGTTGTATTTTAAGTAGTTCTATAGACTATGCTTTCTTCTGTATCAATGCGCATTTTGCGCGGTCTGTTCTGATGTTGTCCTCGTAAATCTTGTAATCCTTCGCTATTGTTATTTTTTTCCAATGCGGTATGAATTGTCTAATTTGAAATACACAAAGTGCTTGCAAAAAATGTCCTACATACTTGAACTTTCTCTTTCTGTAAATCAACATAGTATTTGACTGTTTGGGTGCGATTATTCTTTCGATCTAACTTGATTCTTTTGACCTTCTCAAGTGTCGTGTGACTAACAATAAATTGCCATTGCCGCTCATGATCTCCTAATCTATAATATTGCTGCATAATGTCCTCTCTTTGGCTCAATGTAAATTTTTCTTCACATTTTTATTAGTAGGAAATGATGATAAAACTTCGTCTACACTTGCGGCAGAAGTTTCAGGCCTTGAGTTTATATCGGGACTTTGGCAGATAGCTGTTATGGTATTATCACCATCATCTAAAGTAGTTGTAGTGACTATCAATATAGAATCTGAATTATTTTCAGGCTGTAGAGTTGTGTCCAAATCAACGAGGTCTGTGAAATCTTCATTTTCGATGGCTATATCATTCTCCAGAATATGTGAATAAGAAGATCTTTTGTTGATAATAAGATTCAAACAACGTTTTGTTTATTTTTTCTGCTATTAATATCGCATGGTTTGGCAGAAACCGGTGACGCAGTAATATTTGTGTTTGTTAAAGATGTAGGAGTCCGCCAACTTAGCAGCTTCATATATGATTTAAATCGATTTGTTTGAATACGGAGGAGACATTAGAAACAGTCGAAGGCGTTCTTGTAATATTCTCAATAGCTGCTGTTAAATAACCAGAGTCTCCGCCAAAACTTGATGGACTCCTGCTAAGTCTGTGTTGATCTGGACTTGGTATATACTCGGTATATAGACACGTCCGGCGAGAAGTCAACAGCAATCAATTCATCATCGTCGCAGTAATGTTACAAAACTGTAAATACTTGCTGATGCCCACTGAGGACCGCTTGAAAACCTTTTTTAATACGAACCTCGTAAATTATATACATGTGTAACCGACGCTCCACCTTGTTCTGCTGGTGCTTCTTTTATTTGATTGGATTCAACCGCATTTAATGCTTCGCCTAGTTCTGTAGCTGAGTTTTTCGTTGGTTTCTCTGAAAGTTAATTGTTCACTGTACCGATGATAGGCTAGCCACTTGTCACGTTGGGAGTGAAACCTTATTATTAAAGTAACAGAAAATTACAGATTTTTAAATCTTATAAGGTGACTAAAATCATGAGAATGTTGCGGCGTTGAAGCCTGTGTAGACGCTTGGCTGGAGTTGGAGTCGGTTAGATAACCTCTTTCCCAGTCAAACTCTCCTCCATCAGCAGAAAACAATATGTTGTAGAAGTAATAGCTTTGTAAGTACCAGATTTGGACGCTAAATAATTTGCGTAAATTTGATATCGGTCTGGTGCAACAGCTGCAGATGAATCAGTGCTGGCAAGGGTAGCAGTGGCAGCTTGTGATTCGGTTATTTTGCGACAAACTTTTTTTTGCCTTTTTGAATTTTGTCGCTGCAGACGCTGGGTTCCTGAACTCTTGCGTCAAAGTCACTTGGCCCCCATCTAGTTGACTCTCGGGAGTCTCAGATACCTCGTTAACATGTGCTTGGTTCCCGATTCCTTCCTCCGCTGATACTTTCAGATCCATTGTAGAGTACTTTTTCATTGTCCTCAGTTAAATCTTCCTGTAATTATTTATTTATTTTATTTATTGTACTAGCGACGCGCCCCGGCTTCGCACGGGTGCAATGTTGATACTAAATACACTACAGAAAAACTGTGAACGTTGTATATAAAAACATAGCGGCCCGCTCCGGCTTCGCACGGGTATAAAATATATAGCCTATGTGATTAAAATCGATCCAGTAGTTTTGATTTATTCATTACTGCCCGTGGCCCGCACGCGTTAAATTTAGAGTAAAACAATCCCCCTTTCCCTATACCATGAAGATTTTCTGTTATCTTTGGAATATCTAAATTCATACACTACATTTTTACTTATTTACTTTTTACATTTTTAACTATTTATTTCATTTCTACTGTGTCTAATTGTGTTATAAACAACGTTCACAGCTTTCTTGTCATTAGACAATACAAACATGTTTTCTCTGGAGGTCACTCTTGAAAGAGCGACATACAGTTGTCCATGTGAAAAACAGTCAACGCTCAAATCTAAGCCTGCAATGTTGAAGGTTTGACCCTGCGATTTATTAATGGTAATTGCAAAAGATGTCTTTACCGGAAACTGTAAACGTTTAAATTGAAAGGGTAAATCCGATGGTATCAGAGGGATTCGGGGAATCAATACATCTTCTCCGGTACCACATCCTGTGAGTATTGTGCACTCTATTATGAAAGTTTTCAATGATTTTACCAGCAAACGCGTGCCATTGCAAAGTTTAGGTGGATTCAGGTTTCTTAATAAAATAACAGGACAACCTACTTTCAACAACATTTTGTGAGAAGGGAGTCCAGACGGGTTCAAATAATTTAGAAATTCTGTAGGAAAATGAACAGCTTCTTCCAAATCGAGAACAGTATCGACCGAGTAGTATATTTTCGTCGGCGCATCAATCTTTGAAATAATCAAGTTATTTACTTTATCTACTTGTTCGTTAGTTGGTGACAGAATCGCTCTTTCTATAAACCAAGATATTGTCTTATAACTTATGTTATCAATGTCAGGATAGACATTGTTGACTAACTCTTGGATGTTGTCTATCAAAACGCAAAGGTTTTCTAGGTCAATCCTTCCCTCAATTTGTGTTAACTCTCCATTGCCAACTTTTAGCAGCATCTCTGGAAATAGCCTGTTCTCACGTGAAGATGACGAAACCCTCATATTAGTTTTAAGCTCTAATTTATTGACATGTGGCCAAAGGTTGGATCTTTTTAGGCAAGCATTTATTTCGTCAGCACGTGTTCCTCGAGTCACAACTGGTAGGATTTGACGGAAATCTCCTGAGAACAGAATTGTACATCCACCCATAGGTGAATTTTTGTTGCGCAAATCGCGCATTGTCCTATCCAGTGCTTCCACAGACGTCTTGTTTGACATGGTAGCTTCGTCCCAGACTATTAATGAGCAGTCACGCATCAATTTTCCTGTATTGCTCTGTTTAGAAACACTACAGACGCTGTTATTATCATGGGTGGCGATTTTCAGCGGGAGCTTGAATGTGGAGTATGAAGTTCGGCCTCCTTCCAAAAGCGTAGCGGCAATGCCGGATGACACAACAGCTAACGCAATTTTTGCGATAGATCTCACTTTTTTTAAAAGCAGATTGATTAAAAATGTTTTTCCTGTACCTCCTGGGGCATCAAGGAAAAACAATTTCCCTTCATTGTTATCAATTGTTGATAGTAATGCAGTGAATACTTTTTTCTGATCGATGTTTAATCGTGGCTCATCATGAGCTATATTTTGTAAAAGTCTCGTTTGATGAGTAAGATCGTATGATGTTTCTCTTGTGTATTCGGCACTGTTAGTTAAATCTGAGTTAGTAGTATTAGCTGGCATCGGCAGCCCAAAATCCTTGATCGATTTACCCGAAAGTAATTGCACTACTTTGTTCAATTCCAATAATGCTTCGTCAAATATGTTTTGATCATATTGTACATCATCTGAGTTTAACTCTTGCCGTCGCCGAATCAGAATATCACTGGCCATATTTTCTTGAAATTTATTCCATAGATTAACAGAATCAGTTACTTGACAAAACACTACTATGACGGCAAATAAATATCTTAATGATGTAGCTGAACTACAAACAGCTGCTTCTGATAATGTGGTTTCCCAGTGAGAATTGTCTTCCAAGAACCCCATAGCTTTGCATGCTGCTTGATAAGTATTGTAAACAACACCTTGTACAGTTCTTAGGTGTGCAAAGGATGTCGGGCCTTTTACAATATGCAGTAATATTCTCAGATAAAAGCATTCGCTGTTGTTGGGATGAACCACGTAGACTCTGCCAAGAGCATCCGTTTTTTTTACTCCGGGGAAACCATCAACCGCAGTACCTTGTTTTCGCCGTTGAAAAGTTTTAGAACTCTGGTTCCATGTATAGTAACCTGGAACTCTGTCATATGTCAGTGTTTTCGCGAAATCATCTTGAGCACATAACTTGAAGAATGCTGTCAATGTTGTATCCCGCGGTTTATTAACAACTTCTTGTATATTGTTCTCTGTGAAATATACTCTTTGTCCATTTTCTAAATGAACTGCTAGGTGGACAACATTTTCTAATCGTTCGGTTACTACAATAATGCCTACCTGGCTTGCAGATCTTGGTAGCATACTAGGCAGTCTTTCACTGACTTCAAAGATATCTTGGGCAAATAAAACTGCCTGACCGCGAAAACCGTACTGTCTATGGGCAGTACCGTACGGTTTTGGCCACTAAATTTCACAATTTAACAAAGGGAATTATTCTGCACAGCAAACGTTGTTCCGCCTGTGTCAATGTTTGAATAACGTCTGGTATAGAACCTGGATCCAGATTATTCCAGTAAGCTTTTGGTGGTGCTGTTGTTTTATTACTAGTAACATGTGTTTGACAGCGGGAACATAATAACAATGATATTTTCGAAGTTAACTCCACAGGTAAGTATGTTAATGCAGCAGCGTTGTACCGAACTGTACGAACTTGATTAGGATAACAACGTTTGGTACAAATATCACAAACATGTATACAAATTGTGTTAATAGCATTCTCGAATGCCTGCAGATTATTAGCTCTGCATTGCTGGGTACGCTCTCGTTGTTTATTTAACCTCGTATCGCGATGTTCAGGCGTTTCTGAACCCAACTGCTGTCTTTGTCTTTCACGGCTTTGTATTAATCTAACTTCATATTCTTCAGGCGTTTCTGACGCTATCATCTGTGTGTATCGCTCCCGTTGTTTTGTTAACCTGGCTTCATATTCTTCAGGCGTTTCTGACGCTATCATCTGTGTGTATCGCTGACGTTGCTTTTTTAACCTGGCCTCATATTGCTCAGGTGTTTTTGACGCTAATTGTTCCCGTCGTTTCTGTAATCGACTATTTCTATCACCTTCACTTTCTTTAGCTCGTTTTGCTTTATACTTTTCTTTCGCTTTTTGAAGCCTTCGTTTACGTTGTGTTGCAGTTTCTGTTTTATTTTGTTCCCACGAGTAATGGACATTTAAACGGTCGACCCCCCCCAGAGGTCCAATAAAGGGGTAAGGCTATGTACAACAAGATGCGCCTGAGTCTTGAGGGGAAAACGCTAACGACATAGCATTTTTATCCACCCTAATGCCATACAGTTCTCGGCGCGTTTTAACCTTTCACCTTAACTTGGGTGGTGTACCGCCAACGACGTATCATTTTTAGCCACCCTAACGCCACACAGTCCTCAACACGATACAAAATCTTGACTTGGGTGGTGGATTCAGGCTGGATTAATCAGATACCTAAATTACAGATTCAATTTCTAAATTTAAATCTTATTATTATACGCCATTTGGTGGCTGCGCCCATCTTAAATATTGAGGTTGTATAGTGCATTGTATTCTTTCGTTAGTTGCTCTCACCTCTGAGCGGGGGCTCCCCAGTACCAGCTCCTTCCACTTGACCGTATACAACGCAGAGCAGTTCGAATCGGCGACGACCAATCCCTCTCCGAGCGGCTTGATCCTTTGGCGTTGCGTAGAGATGTGGGGTCACTCTGCATCTTCTACCGCATTTACCACGGAGAGTGTTCAGATGAGTTGTTCGGATTAATACCTGCAGCTGAGTTTCATCATCGGACGTCGAGACAGAATACGAAATTCCACCCGTATCACCTCGACGTCCGCCGTTCCACAACTGAGCGTTTTTCAAGGCAGTTTTTGCCGCGCACCACCACTATGTGGAACCAGCTGCCCACTGAAGTATTTCCGAAACAATACGACTTAGGGTCCTTCAAGAAAAGAGTGTACCAATTCTTAAAAGGCCGGCAACGCACTCGCGAGCCCTCTGGCACTGAGAGTGTCCATGGGCGGCGGTATCACTTAACATCAGGTGAGCCTCCTGCCCGTTTGCCCCCCGTTCTATAAAAAAATTTAATGCATTTTGTCTTCTTTTAGCTTAAGATAATTTGTATTAAACCAGTGAACTACACTGGAGATGGCACTGTTTACATTCTCAAGTAATCGATTTCGGCGTTTCACTTTAAATAAAAGCGAAGTGTCATCAGCAAACAGTACTATCTCGTGAAAGTCCTTTACAAGAAATGGTAGGTCATTTATATAGACGAGGAATAAGAAGGGACCAAGTATGGAACCTTGCGGTACACCCATAGTAACAGTGATTTCAAAAGATTTAGCGCTTTTCGCCAATGCCATAGTGTTGAAGTTTTTTGATTAGGTTTCGTGATGGACACAGTCAAAAGCCTTTAATAAATCGCAAAAAACTCCAATGGCATCATGAGACTTTTTTTTTTTATTTACTCGATGCAGGCAGCACAGATATGGGTCTAATATTTGTGGGGTCAAAAGTGTTGCCCGTTTTGAATAACTGTGATTTTACTTAGCTTCATCTGGTCTGGAAAGACTCCACAATTAATACATTCATTAATTATTATACCTAACTCTGAACTGATGGCATACACCCCAAAAACCTATAGTTTTTTTTTTATTTTAGCTGTTTAAATGTTTTTATAATATCATTGCAGCTAATGCGGCTAAATATAAACTCATGATTGCATACAGGAACATTATTTTGCAATAATGGGCAGCTGGTGGTGAAAAATTTAGAACGCTGGTTGTATTTAATGGAATGTTACCAAAAAACTCTTCAAATGAAGAGGCTACTTCGAGGTCGGAACTAATTACTATGCCGTTTATGTTCACCTTATATTCAGTATCCTTTCTGGAGGTTCTTCCAGTCTCCTCGTTTATAATTTTCCAACTAGCCTATCTCATCAGAGCTGTTGTTTATTTTAAGACTTAAGTGTTTCGCCTTAGCGATTCTACACTCTTGCCTAAAACTCTTAGATAATATCCTAACATGAGTTGTAAAGTCTTCACTGTCATACTGTTTTTCATCATATTATTTTAGCCCTTTTTGTGTAGCTTCAGAGTTGCCCAGTCACAAAAGGTAGGTTTCTCCGAGACAAAAAAAGTCTGGAGTGAACAAATTTTTGAATTCATCAATAAATTAATTAAAATGTGTTATATACATTATTAGGGCATTGGTTACTATGCAAAAATGGCATTTTAAATAGCAAATTTTTCCTAAATCTGTCTAACCGATCATCTGTTATAGGAATTGTGCATATTTTATTTTTTGGATCTTTACATTTAAGTATTTGAAATTCAAACAATTGACCAGAGTGGTCAGATGTAAGATGCAGGACAAAACCTGCTGTAATTTTTTTTCTAAGCTTATCATATTGAGCTGAAGGAGGGCTATACAAACTAACAATGATAAATTGCTCCAGCTCCACACAAGATACTTTAATAAGGCGTTCCACAGAGAGGCTCACTATGTCCTTCCTTTCTTTAAATTTTATTTTTTATCAAGCAATATTAATGAGCCACCGCGATTGCATTTCCTCTGCAGAACGAACTACCAATCTTATGATTACAAAAATGGAACATAAGTTAATGTCAACATTTTCACTGCTAAAAAACAACTCAATTTCTAGTAATTTACTTTTCATGCCTTGTATATATATTTTGGTGAACCAGATTGATTATTATTATTCTTAAATTTACTAACTAATTCTAGGCCAGAGAGACTCTATGTTGTCTTAGTATCTAATTTAAATTAGAAATACTATTTCTTGGAATATCTTCCAAGGTCTTACTAAAACCTGCTCAATAGAAGCAAGATGTCAAGCCAAATTCTTGGCTGTTATAAACAATAAATATGATAGCGAATCTACTAATGTTAGCGTAAAGTTTTTATTATACAATGTAAATGTATGCATTGTCTGATTTAAAATATGTCTCACATTATTTTCATGCTGAGTGAAGTTTTTACTATAAGGGAATGTAAACATAATCAGATTTATGGTATTAAGTGAGCACAATTTTTCATAGCAGTAATAAGCTCTTTTTTGTTTAAATTCCCTCTATTGCCTATAAATATAATTAGATTATCAGTGTTAGAGTCTTCCTCTCTTAAAATATTAGTAGCATTTGGGTAACAGCTGTTTACAAGATTTTATTTAAAAATTGGCTCATTTGATGGCCTATTTGGTCACAGTACATTACATTTAATTTTGGTTATGAAATATTATATTTTTGTGCTTCTTCTAAAATTTTCTATTGTATATGAGTAGAATGACTGTCAAAAATCAACAACGCTGACGGATCTTCGCTTAAATTCGGCAGCACAGGATTGAACATGTACTTTTCAAATACTTTAGAATCTTTAGTGTTTGAGGTACACCAAATGAAAACCGAAATAGAATTCGATGTCTTTATTGTCCTCTGACTTACATGGCGGTTTTAGTGCGACTGATTCATCCACGTGCAAGTGGAATTACGAAATAACGATACGTCGACAATATTACAAATGAAATTGCGAAATTTCTATTTAGACAATAATTACACCTCTACAAATCTATTCAGCCATTTGACATAGCAGCATATAATGTATTCGTGTATCCTAGTTCCGAAATCCTTTTGGTCCCATGTATTTTTGCCTCGATTGATAATTAATGGTGACAATTTATTACCATCGGCGCTGGCAGTGAACAACATCGTGACGTTATGTTTGCCAGATGATGCGATAGTTCTTGTACTGACTATTCCACGGGCGCCAACAACTTTTGTTTTATCAGGGTCATTTCCAAAACTTGACTCGTCCAGATTCCAAACTTTTTCTGGTCTTCCATTTAAACCCAGTACATTCAAACCCTCTTCAAGGATATCGAAGTACTCGTTTACTATAAAAGGGTCACATGCGACTTTCCTGGACATCTCCACTGCTTGTGGCTTTTTTAAGGACAACTTGTGTCTTTTTTTTGGATAAGACGCCATAGCCCCGACTGACCTTAAAGGGTTTACTGGAAATATAGACAGTGCATCAGAATTTGTATGAATTTTCCCTTTCTATGAATTATTTAATGAAATTCTTCTAATTTTAATCACCATCGTATAAGTCTTTGCAATTGAATAGCCATGAAGGGGCTTGTGGTTTGTGACTATGATAAAACGAAGGCCATAAATGTAAGGCCGGAATGTTTGGGTGCAAATTCTATAGCTAAGCACTCTTTTTCTGTAACGCTATAATACCATTATGATTTATTTAAAGTGCGTGAAGTAAAAGCTATCGGTCTATCTTTACCTACGGAAGCTTGAGATAGAATAGCTGATATGGCATAATCGCAGGTAAGTATAAAAGGTTGAGTGAAATCTAATACGGGAGAAGTAATTAGCTTACTTTTTAGAATTTCGAAAGGTTGTTATTGTTCAAACTTCCAGTCCAATTCAGTTTAATTAAAACCAATAGTTTTGTTAGTAATTTAGCAGTTTTAGAGAAGTCAGGGATGAATCGTGGATATTAAGACACAAGCCCTAATCAATGACAGATGCGCCGGTGAGTCTATTCGCACTCTGTGCATCGTCACCGGCGCACTGTCTTGACTCCCTACAAATTTACGCTATTTCTTACTATAGGTATTTACGCTCCCATCCGCATGCTCCCTCTCTCTCGAGAGGGCTGCGCGAGGCGTATTCTCCCCCCGGGGGGCTGCGGACAACACAATAGAACGGCTCGTCGTCGGTGTCGATCTTTCCACATCAGCGTCGCATCCCGTCGTGTCTTGCTCCTGCAGTGCTCGCCTTAATCCCTTTTCTTCGGCATCTATCTCACTTCTTACTCGGAGTGGACCCTACGCTTCAAGTCTGTGAACTCTCCCTTTACCGTTTCCCCTTTCGACGCCTGAATATTGCCCGCACGGTACACTTCTAGATCTGCCGGCAGCACGCCGCCCAGGACGGCCAGCGCCGGGGTGCTTGTCGTCCGATAAGCCTTGGTCAGGAGCACCAATGGAGACCTTTGTGTTCGCAACAGCCGACTCGCCACCAAATGTCCCGTAGTATAGCAACCGGAGCGCAGGGTATCTGATACCCCAGGAGGAGGCAGACACCCTGGCCATCATCGACCGCAACGAGAGGGGCCCTCGGTTTCGGAACCTGGACCCGCAAATTGTTAGGAACCGCGCGCCTAATTTTTTCGGCATCTCCCCTGCTTGCCGCCTGCACAATAACGCCCGCGTTTCCTATCTTGCGCACCTGCGCAATACCAACTCCGAGGGTCTGGGGGTTCAACGCCTGCTAGAGCGCTGCTTTAGTCTGCTCCGCGGTTTTTAGGTTTTCCGACTTTTCGTCAGCCGGGTAGAAAGCCAGCACAGTTCCCGCCGATGCCGGCTTAGGTGCCGGACCTCGCCCGTACTCCAGCTCGCAATTTTTTAGGCGCTCTTCGCCCAACCGCGCCGACAATAGGGCTATTATGCCCGTAAATTTTTGCACATGCGTGCCAATTTGGGCAATTTCCACTTTGTTTAATTTCGCCGCCATGATGGCTTCGCCAGCCGAGTTAGCCTCCACTACAAAATCCCCCACAGATATTTCCGTCGCGGTCGGCGCCGACGCCACCGGCGAGTCCCCAACCGGTTTTTCCTCCTCGCTGCGTGGAGAGGCTGAACCTTGGCCGCGCTCCTGGCACACCCTCCGACGGGGTGCCTCCTCCAGCTCTAACGGAGACGTCTGTTTACGCTTTCGCGCCCCCTCGTTTTCCGGCAACCGCGGAAGAAAATTGCGTGGCGGGGTCCGCATCAGGGACCATTATGGAGTCAAAGGCACTTTTGTCCATTACTCGCACGCCTCTACTATTTTGTAATATTGCCGATGACTCTACCGTCGCCTCTACCTACGACTCTACCTACGACTCTACCTTTGACCCTACCACCAGAGTCAGACCGAAACGCCTATTTGTTTTGTCCCGCTCCAACACGCACCGCCCACACCTCACTGACCACGCCTGAGAGACAAGGAACGAGGTATGTTTACTGTCCCGTACTAACGCACCTGCGCCGCGTCACCGATCACGCTAGATCGGTGTGAAACCGCAGTATGCGCGCTATCCCGCTCCAACCTATACGGCCGCACCTAACTACGTCACCGATCACGCCACCGAGTGAGAACAAAGGAAGGAATGTTTCTAGTACAAATTTAACTTATAAGCGATATAATAAACAAAACTAAACGCTAAATCGTAACAATAACTGCTAGATCTTAATTATCTTTCTAGCACTTACCGCGCCGCGCGGTTAGCCACGCGGCTTGTCCTTTAAAATCCTTCCAAATCCTTTTTGCACCACACTTTGTCACTTGGAATCTAAATAAATACGCCGTAAATCACGCATGTAATTAAGGCTAATTCGCGCTGCGACAGCGCAAGTAAAAATAATAATTTACAAGCAAATTATCGCGGAGCAATAACACGCACGTATACACGTCCGCTCGCTACATAATGGTCGCGACATATGTCCCGTAGTATAACAACCGGAGTGCAGGGTATCTGATACCCCAGGAGGAGGCAGACACCCTGGCCATCTTCCCGAAGCACTTTGCATCTCTCTCTCCGATGTCTTGGGCGTGCTCCGCAAACGTGCCACGCTCGTCCAGCACCACACCGAGTAGCTTCGCCGCACCGACGGCCCCCACCGAGTCGCCCCCCAGCCGGATCACCGGCGGACGCTGGAACCTGCCCTTCAGTGTTTTCGTAGACGAAAACGACAGCCTATTCCGATGGCCCTATTCGAGTGCCATTTGAAGAGTGGTCGCCGCCTTCCGCTCGATGTCCGCCCGGGAGTTCGCCTCGATCAAGACCGTGACGTCATCCGCGTACGCTACCAGACTAACACCCGGGGGCACCGCTATCCGCAACAAATCGTCCACTAGAATGTTCCACAGTGTCAGCCCCAATACGGAGCCCTGTGGGCAACCCATAGTGGAACTTTTCCAGACGGATACGTCGTTCGCGAACATCCCCACTTTCCTGTTTGTGAAGTACGAGCAGAGCAGTCTGTATAAGTTGCGCGGACAACCACCCTGCTTAAACTTGAGCAGCACCATCGGCCACCATGCATTATCGAATTCGCCCGAGATATCCAATAGGATGGCCTGGACGTACTTATGGTTCGTCTCTCGCACGACGTCCAATACCCTGCTCAGAGCAGTCACCGTCGACTTCCCGTGCATGAATCCGTGCTGATTGGGCGATATACGGCCGCTTAAGCCCGGTGTACACTCGCAGATCAGCCTCTCCAGGATCTTCCCCAGTACGGACAGAAGCGTAACGGGCCTGTACGCTTTCGGGTCCGTGAGTGGTCTCCCATTGCCCTTCGGTATCACGACTAATCTTCCGATCTTCCAAATATCTGGAAACACGCCTTCCCGGACACACGTGCTGTACATGTTCGTCATCTCCGACGCGGCCACATTCCAAACGACCTTGGCGATACGCGCCGTGATGCCGTCTAGCCCCGGACATTTATTTGGCAGGCTCTTTACGATCCTTTCGAGTGCTGACCTGTCCACTATGTCAACGTCTTTCCCCGACGGCGCGAAAGTGGCGGCAAGGCGTACCCTCGAGTGGTACGGTGAATCAACCGTCACATCATCGTCCGGGTACATGGCCGCCAGGACTCCGGACATCGCCTCCTCTATGTTTGTAGCGAATCCCTGCGATAGCTTCATCCCGTTCACTACTCCAGAGGGTGGACGCACACGCCCGCTTGCGAGCCGGTACGCCATTCCCCAGGGATCTTCATTTCCGGAGTCGGAAATTCTCTTGTAATGTTCGGTTTCAGCATCCCGCATTGCTTTCCGGTACCTAGAGCGGGCAAGATGAAAGCGTTTTCGCGCGCTCTCTTCGCACAGTCCGCCCGCGCGCCGGGACTGTTGCCACTCCCGACGTAATTTGTTATGCTGCTTGCGGAGGCCGTCCAGTTCACCCGACCACCATTCGTAACCCCCAAGCCGTTTAGGCGCTACCACTCCCAAACACTTCCCCGCCGAAGTCACGACAGCGGAAGTAAACGCCGAACAAATAGCCTGAGCAGGGGCGTTATACGTGATCCTGCCCACGCGCAGCGCAAGTTCCGAGCGAAAACGGTCCCAATCCACCCCACGGTCCCGAAACCTTATCGGCTCCGTGCCCTGTTCTGTGCTACGCGCCCGATGCAGTTGGCCCGAAGAATTAATTGAGCCGAGATGGATCACGAACGTGATCAGGCGGTGGTCACTCGTGCTGAGATCGGCGTGCACGGTCCATCCGTCGATTCGAACTCCTCTCGTTCCTAGGGTGTCGTCTATATTAGAGCTCCCATTCGGTGAACTAAAGGTGTCCGGTTGGCCTTGGACGTTATGGACCAGGAGACCCCACGACAGCACGAAGCTCTCCATAGCCGTCCTACGCTGTTCTGCCAATCTGCCTCTTCCTCTACACTGGTCCTCGCGACTGTACCACAGCTGTGAGTGGGCGTTTGTGTGTCAGCTCCTTGGTAGCCGTCACCGATCCTTGCAGGTTTATTTGTCCGACCGAGATGTCCATCTTGTCTCCTCGTGAACTTTTTATGGACCTACAATCCATAATTGGTTCTTTCTAAGGACCGCTTTTCCGCCGCTTGTCTCGCCGGGCATAGGGCCGAAGCGGTTCGGTGGTCTTCCGAGGGTTTCCCAGCTTTCTTGCACGTAGCGCACCTACGGAACGTGTTTGTGCACGCCTTGTGTGTGTAGCCCTCCTCACCACAGTTCCCACAGGTGTCTTTTGTTGCCCTGCAGAAGCGTGCCGCATGCCCGTATCCCTGGCATTTGCCGCAGCAGGTAGCGTCCGCATAGTCCCGCACGATATGACGCTCCCACTCTATGTATACGCGCTCTTTCGAGACCTGGACTGCACCGCAGCACCACCGTGGTGCACGCGCCTCTTCGGGCGCTCTTCTTAAAGGCCACGTCGACCTTTTCCTTAC